GCCCAAGAGAGAATCTGTGGGAGCTACAACCCTGGACATGCTTTAGGGGCAGTCACCAAGCACTTTGGAGCTCACATTTGGCCAGATTGCCTTGGGTGCTGCACATGGAACTACAGGACTTAATGTTTGCTCTCCTGGATTTTGGCCTTGCTTTGGTCCCATTCCTTTGTATGCCCGTTTGTAACTTTTGGAATGAAAATGTCTATCTTGTGCCATTGAATGTTGGAAGTGTTAACTTTCTTTTCGTTTATACAGGGGGTTACAGCTAAGAGTTTGCCTTAGATCTTGGAGGAGACTTTTGACTTGACTTTTCAGCAATGCTGAAACTCTCAGGACTTGTCAATTCTTAGAGATGGACTAAATGTCTTTTGCATAAATGAATGTGCATGAGTTTGCAGGGTCGAGACATAATGATGTGGTTTGTGTCTGGCTGTCCCTCCAAAGCCTCACGCAGTCATAGAGGTGGGCTTCTAGAATTGTGATTAATTCGTGGTCCAATGCTGGGATTATGCATGTGAGTGCTACATCCACCTGTTGAGGGCAGCCTACATACAATGTGAGAGACAGTCTTCTCTCTCCCTCCTCCCTTACGCTCTTGTTGCTTTTGCTGTCTTCCACCACCATGAACTGTTGCCCCCCTACCACGACACCCTGCCTTGGAGCCAGCTGACTGTGAGTGAAACCTCCACAAACTGTGAGCTAAATTAACTTTTTCTTCCTTCATTTTGGTCTTCAAATATTCTGTCTCAGCAGTGAGAGGAAAGTAACCAACACAATGTGCAAGCAGAATCAGGGTTCACACTAAGGCATCGTGGCTCCAGAGGTAACATCTTCAACTGCTGTGACCTGCAACCTCCCCAAAGAAGAGGCAGCCCCAGGGGCTGGGGATTTAGCTCAGCGGCATAAGCGCCTGCCTTGCAAGCAGGCAGTCGTGAGTTCGATCCCTGGTACCGATGAAAAGGAAAAAGACAACCAAAAAAAAAAAAAGAAGAGGCAGCCCCTAGGCGCTGTGCAGAATACACCGCAGGGCATTTGAAGGCTCCCAGAGTCATAACGTATGCCAACAGGACAGGCACTAGATCAGAGTCAAGTCCTGGCTTGGACCCTGATTAACTGTGAGCTGGTGTCCTCGGCTGTCACACAAGCACAGTGGTCCCTGAAGCCACATGACGCCATCCAAGCTGTGCTGGAGCTTAGCCTCTGCCTCCCCAGGTGATGAAACCAAGGATCACACACAGCAAGTGGGCTGCTTGGGGCACACGATAGGCTGCAATTCACAGGACACTGGCTCCATGTCACTGGCCCTGTGAAGGTGACCCATCTTGTCTACTTCCCTGTCCCCTGACAACACCTTTCCCAAGCCACCTGTGGCAGGGCTCCACTTGGCTTCTCCTCAGCTGCAAGACCTCACTGTTCTCCCCAGAGGTCCGTGCCAAGGTGGACAGCGCTGCGGGATCGTTGGCCACGGCATCCACCGGACGGGCCTGGGAAATGTTCAGCAGATGAGCAGCACCTGTCTACCTGTACCTGCAGGGTTTCCAGAGACACGTGGCCTGGGCGAGGGTGCACGTGGGCTGTGGGTGGCACCAGTCTGCACGTAAGGAAAGGAAATGAAGGGGGAAGTTGGCACACACGGGAAAAGCTCCATCGTGCTTTAGTGGTGCATCTTCCGCTGCCATCGCCCATGGACAGCAGTCTCAGGTTTCCCCAGGAAGCCCAGCGCAGCTTCACCCCAGGGACTCTCAGGGGGCTTCCCAGCCTCCAGCCTGGGACTCGGGCTGCATCTCTGCCCCATCTCGTTCTGAGACTTCCCGCTTCTCAGATCCTCCAGCTCGCCAGGGTGCCCACCTTTTACCCTATAAGCTACCTAATCAGCCTCCTTGCAAAACTTTATGCACATATGTTCTACTGATTCTACTCCTCTAGAGAACCTAACAGATACAAACAAGCAAAAGAGAACGAAACAATGCGGGGAAAGAACCTTCAAGGTCCAGACCCAACCCTGCAGTGTCCACTAGGGGGAACCATACTCCTGCGTTCAGGAGTTTCTAAATCCCACTCCGCGACCCCAGGAAAAAGCATGAATGTCTGGTTAAGTGAGAGCCTGCAGTTTCATCCACTCATTTATCTACCCATTCATTCAGTAAATATTTACTGGACATAGGCACACATGCGCCAGGTCTGTGGGCCAACAAGAAGCACCGTGCTTATGTAATTACAGCCTGGCAACAGCCTCTCGGCTTCTGCAGTGTGTCTCATCTGACAGCCATGTGACAGCCAGGTGCTTCCCACCATCCATCCATCCCGAACAGGCCCAGTGATGTCATGCTTCCCTTTCTTCCACAAATATTTACGTGCCCTGAACGCTCCACCACTGGCTTGGAACACTAAGGTACAGAGGATGCAGTTTAGAGTGGAACACACACAGTGATGTCTGCTGAAGCTGCCCCAGGGGATAAGGAGACCACGCTCAGGACCCTCGGAAAGAAACCACAGTCCCCTCTCCTTTACTCCTGAAGGGAGAGATAGAACCTTTGCCAGCCCGCACTTCCTCTGCTCCTTATAAGCAGTTACTACTAACTATATGCCAAGCTATGGTTTGAGTCTGGATGTCCCCGCAAGCCTCCTGCAGTCATGGGAGCAGGCTTTTGGAGTTTGTGACTGACTCATGGTCCAGTGCTGGGATTATGGGTGTGAGTGCCACACCAAGTGGGTGTGGCCTACGCACAATACAAGGGACAGAAAGATTCTCCCTCTCTGCTCCTCCCCTTCTGCTCTTGCTGCCTGTGCTGCTTTCCACTGCCATGAGGTGTTGCCCTCTGCCGTGTGCCACTCTGCCTTGGAGCCAGCTGATTATGGACTGAAACCTCCCAACCTTTCCTTCCTGCACTTTGGGTGCTGCATATTTTGCACTAGCAGTGAGAGAAAAGTAATCAAGTAACCAAGACATGCCACTATGTTTCCAAACTTGTTTAGAACTATAGTTCAAACCCAGTCATTTGTTCAATAAATATTGATGGCCATGTGTCTGCTAGGCATTGACAACACTGAGGTAGCAAGACCTTCATGGCTCTGGTCCTCATTATAAGGGAATTAAGTTCCCGTCCATGAAAATAAAGTTTTGTTTTTGTACACCTGACTTGGCTACTGTACAATCTGTTCACAGTGTAAGTCTCTGGCACTTGGAACTGCCAGCTAATCTTCATCTGCTTATCAGCTAACACTGTAGGTTAGCTACAGCAGGGGCAGGACACTGAGCCCACTAGGAAGGGGAAGGATGGTGCTCACACTTCATTTCCTTCCTGGGAATGGAAGTGGGACCCTGTCTCAAACAACAAACAAAAAAGAATAACCAATGGGCCACCAGATACATTGTTTTCTGGCCTCTGGCAAAGAGACATAAAATAAGCATATCCGCCCAAAATCAGGCTTAGAAACAGAAGTACTTAAGCTCAATCTTTGTCAAGCCTTGTTATAAACAACTGACAAAGCCAGCTGCAGTTGGATATTCATTTTTAAAGGAAATTCATGACTTGGGCTAAAGATGCAAAATATCAGAAAAAGTCCAGTAAAACTAGGTAGATTTGACAGCCCCCAATAACCAGAGTGCCGACCCACTTTCCATTCTTTAGTTTACTGCTGCATTTAACAAATATTTATCAAGCTGACTCTGCATGAGACACATGCCAGGCTCACCACAGACAGGGACTTGGTGAGGTAGCAGCTGCTAGCTTCTAAGCTGGCAGTGAATAATTTCAGATAAACACGAGTGCACTCATGTGCACCACCGGGGGTGTAAACCAGCCTCTGCTAACAAATCAGTTCTGTGCTGTAGTCTAAGCATACTGAAGGTCTCACCTGCTTGTTATTATTGGTGCATTTGGTACTTTCACTAAAAATTTAAAATAGTTAAGATGGTAAATTTGGTCATGTATGTTTTACTGTAACAAAATTATGGAAGCAAGGCAAGGGGCATGCCGACACTCTCAGCTGCCTGGGAGGTTGAAGCAAGAGGACCGAAGGTCTCCACACAGGGGAACAAAACTTCCAACCTACTAGATGTCCAGTATGAGTTCATGTTCTCTAAATTTGAAGAATGAATTTTAGCAACAATGGAAGTTAATAGCAGAATAATTATTGAGCTTCTGTCTGAGAGAGAGACAGAAGGGGGCCTCAGGGGTTTGCCAAAAGCTGTCTTTTCTAGGGACTTTTAGAGTAAAACCACAAGATGAGATGGGTCTAAGGTAGGGGAAACTGGGAACTCACAAGGAAGACAGGCATAAAGTGGGACAGAACTATGGCCAACCAATAAAGATCCAAATCAGAGACCAATGAGGAGGCGAGGCTTACAGCAAAGGGACAAGCTTAAAGAGCAGTGACGGTTTCCACAGAGGACTGGGATGGTGCGTCCCGACTTCCTCAGGGTGACAGAGACCTATTCAAAATATCAGTCCTTAGGCTGTGGGTGCATTTGTTTGATCTTTTGTCCCAAGGCCTGGCCCGCAGCACCAGGACTGTCTCCCCAACAGCTGCAAGGTACCTGGCCTTCTGCATTAGCTCCTTTGAGGACCCAGCCCTGTCTGACTGCCTATGATATTTCTATCTATCTCAGTTGCCTGTAATAGTCTGAATCCAGCCTGGGTAACCTAGAGGCGCTGGCTCAGAATAAAATACAAAGGCCTGGGGATGCAGCTCGGCGCTAGGGCGCCTGCCTAACACGCGTTCCATCGCCAAAAAACGCAAGAAAATCTAAGGCCATGAAAGCGGCGAGGGCCGGCAACCTGACCAGCACTCCGCGAACCCCGAAGCTTCCATCACCACCGCATACTTCACCGCAGGCCCTAAAGGCCAGGGAGAGGGCACCATTCAGGAATCGAGAGCTGGGCAGCGCAGCCCACCGCCGGGCGCTCCTCGCCACGCGACTCCCGCCCCTTCCCCCGGCGCCAGCCAGTGACGTCAGGGGTGCGCCAGCGCAGCACGCTTCGCGCAGACTCCCCGCCGCGGCGCCTGCGAGTGACGTTGGTCGTGCGACCGCGCATTTCCTGCAGTGGCTCAGTCTACTGCCTGAGAGCTCCTGGAGCAGGGGACTATGAACCGCAGCCGCCAGGTGACGTGCGTGGCCTGGGTCCGCTGCGGCGTGGCCAAAGAGACGCCGGACAAGGTAAGGCTTACTGCGGGGAGTCTGCGCGCCGGGCCTCCCGGGTGACCTGGCCTGGTTCAGTCGCGACGGCGCTGCGGACCCCACGGCCTGGAAGGTCGGGTCCAACGGGGTGGGGTCCTCCCGCCGAGGCCGCCCGCAGCCCGGTTCCCGCCGGCCTCTCGGGCGTAGCTGGAAGAGCGCACTGCGTGGGAACCCGTTCCGCGGCGTGCTCCGCGTGTGCTGGCCCGGAGCGCGAGCTGTGGCCTGGGACACCGGTGTCGTGAGACTGCTGTCGAGGTGGGAGTTTCGGGTAGTAATCCAAGTGGAAATGAGATGTGACACGTTATGAAAGAAAAAGGAACCGGAACGAGTCCGTAGCACAGGTGGAGGTTGCTGTAGGGCTATTCATTTATTGCATGCGGAGTGCTTTCCGCAGGCCAGGGCCCGCCTCCACGTAGAATATATCGGTAGGAGTCAGTGGCACAGAAGTTGTGAAGGGGTCGGTTTAGAGGTAGTTGATGACTCACGGGAAAGGTGATAGGAACGGGGCGGCTTGGATGTGGAGATAGTGGGAGTGAGGGGCTAGAGTAGTCCCTATAGATGTAAACACAACGCCAGGGAAGTTTTCCTTACTGTTTCTGGTGTCTGGAAACAGAATAGGGACAGAAACTGACTTAAAACTTGTTGAAGTAGAAAACGGGTGAAGAGGGATTATTCAGACCAGAAATTGGACAAATAAGTATGTTTTAGTTTTAGCCTTTAATTTCCAGAGTAGCACCACAGTGGAGTGCAGCCCTGGAGAGGGTCTCAGGACCTGGAGGCTTTTGGTGATAGCTGAGTGGCTGCTCAGCTGAGCGATCATTGTAAGCACTGTGACCCTGGGCTACACACCGAGCTGTGTGCTTAGGCGACAGTGTCAGGCAGAACCTGTCCCCAGAGGGCTTACTGTTTTGCTGCACAGGGCATGTCTTAAAGGGACTGAAGCACTGCTTAGATGTGTTGGGGTGCTAGTTTTGAAGGGAGGTGAACTCAGTTGTATGGCAGTTGAAAAATGAAACTGCGTTGTTGATCAGTAGAGGGAAAAGTCTGGAGTGATGAGTTTAGAAATTATTTTAACCTGGAGAAGGAATGATCTTTGCAAGAATGTGAGCCCTAGGGGCTGGGAATTTAGCTCAGTGGCATAAGCGTCTGCCTTGTAAAGCAGGCAGTCGTGAGTTCGATCCCCGGTACCGATAAAAAGGAAAACGACAAAAAAAAAAAAAAAAAAAAAAACAGAATATGAACCCTGTGAGTGAATACTTGGCAGTGATAATAGAGGAAATAACAGAGGACTAGTGTAAGGGGGGTTTGTTAACTAGTGTAAGGGATGGATGCTACAGGGAAGCAAGGGACAGGTGTCCCAGGAGGAATTAGGGATGACAGACATGCTAAAAGCTCCACTTGCATTCAATTGAGAGAGCCACCTTGGTGTTTGATGATGTTTCTTGAAGTTCTACTTTACATTTGCTTGCAAAGCTGTTTAACTCAAAGATTTCCAGTGTTTCACTGACTACAGTGATGAAGTGTTGATTCTCTTATAGGTAGAGCTAAGTAAAGATGAAGTAAAGCGTCTCATTGCTGAAGCAAAGGAAAAGTTACAGTAAGTTAAGTCCTGCTGAAATGTGTGTCATATCGTGATGCGTGGTTTCCTCGATCCTGGAAGGTGCTGTGAGGGTGATTTCCTTTTTCTTTTTGTTCTCACAGAGATGATGGTGGCAGCGATGAGGAGGAGGCAGGCAGCCCTTCAGAAGACAGCATGCAGAGCGCCCGAACTCAGGCAAGACCACGGGAGCCCCTGGAGGATGGCGGCCCTGAGGATGACCGCACTCTGGATGCCGATGAGCTGGCTGAGTACGACCTCGACAGATACGATGACGATAACGACCCAGGTGACATGTACTCACTGTTGCTGGTCTGTAGTCACAGGCTCAGCGCGCTAAACCACATCCATGGGGTCCAGAGCTTTTCTCCGAGTTTCCTCAGGCTTGTGGTCTGGCATTTCGTTAAATTAGAGAAAAGCTAACCCCCTGCCATAAGACGGCAGGCTGAGATCGTAAGAAAAGGATGTGTGTCTGCAATGCACACTTGGGGATTGGTCATCTGTAACCCCCTGTGAATTCTCGTATGCAATCAGTGTACTCAGCGTACATTTTATTATACCTTTTCCTCAGTGGCATCCACATTCTTCAGGCTATGTGCGTGTGGAGACACGGCGTCTACAGATTAGGAAAAGAGAACCCCAGTTTCTAAGACAAAACGGGGACTTAGGTGGTATAGAAGAACCTTGGGGGAGGTAGCTGAGAAGGCACACCGGAACGGCACTGCTCTTCTGGGAAGTCCAGCGGGCTGGGGAAGGCTGGGCTTGTGCCCCTGAAGTCTTCTGTTGTGCTCCCTGGGTGGCACCCCAGATCCTGAGGGGCTCGGTGGCAGAAATTGTGCTTTGGTGGCTGGGCGGCGTCAGGGTGATGGTCCTCTAACTTCTGGCTCACAGTCAATTTGAATGCTTTTGTCTTGTTTTTTCTGTCACTGATCCTGTCCCCTTCCTGAGCTTGACCTCCCCAGGTGGGTGGGACAGGAATGCAGGGCCCAGGGCAGAACACTGTGCTGAGTGACCCAGGGGACAGTGTCAGAGGATACCATTTCTTCTCCTAGGAGCCTGATTTATGCAGGAATTCAATAACCAAATGTAAAACCTAGCAGTTTTATTAAATATGTAGTTTTATGTAAAGTTGTGTCTGAATGACAAAGTACATCTAAAATACAAATCTTATGGGAGTTGTAATGAAGCACTGAAATACACCTTTATCTTATAGAGGTTCAGACTGAAACACTGAGTAAAATAATATGCTTTCTGGGGTTTGCTTTGAAAAACTGCCGAGATAGGGGAAGACAGAGTATAGAAAAGAATTGTCTAAGCTAGGTGACGATGCCTGAAGTTCTTTACGCCCGCTCTTCTTCGTTTCATGGTAGAAAATTTCCATAGTACAAAGTGTTTTAGCAGTCAGGCATCTGTGGGTTGGTGGTAAACACCGTGGGATTGAAGAACCGGCCGTGGCGCTGGGGTCCCTTCTCTAAGAGCCTTCGGCCTCCTGAAAGGTATTCAGGACAATTCAGGGTATCTTCCACATCTTCCATTCCCTGAGCATCCTGCTACTCGGGGTCTGTCATATGCCATCCTTGTGGATGCGCTGTAAAAGAATTCCATCATCAAGGAAGCTGTGAGCCTACCGGAAATGCATTTTGGGGTGAAGGAAGAGTGGCTCGTGCTCCTGCCCTGTTTCCTTGCCCAGCTGTGGATGGTTCATAGTTACCTATAAAAAAGTAGCGGCTGGATTGCAGCCAAAGATGGATTTCTTAGGAAAATGGTTTTTGTCAAGAGGACCACTGCACTCACTTTGATGGTGAATTTGTACAGATGCAGAGACGCTGGGCGAATCTCTCTTGGGGCTTACAGTCTATGGCAGCAATGATCAAGATCCTTACGTTACCCTGAAAGACACGGTAAATACCCACATCGCTTTCTTACTCACGCTCCTGTTTGAAAGCCTGGCTGGATTTCTCCCCCTAACCGGTGACCTTTTGCCTACCCCACAGGAACAATATGAACGAGATGACTTCTTGATCAAGCCTAGTGACAATCTCATAGTTTGTGGCCGAGCTGAACAGGAGCAGTGCAATCTCGAGGTGCACAGTAAGTGAAACGTGTCCGTGCCTAAAGGTTCCTAGAGGACTGCAAAGGCTCTGTGTGGGTACCATCAGGGAGCCCCAGGTGCGCCCCCACGGCCCCTCCCGCGAGCTGGTCACACAGCTGAACTGTCTGCGGCTCTTGTCCTGGTCATTGTGCTGCGCGTATGTGACCGAGCTGTCACTCTGGCACCTGACCTTTTTTATGGCGACAAACAGGCCCCTGAGGACCTTTTAGAAACTTTTCTTTAAATGTATTTGCCGCTTTTTCAGTTTCCCTCTCCGCTTTGGAATCTGGGAAGTAAACCTGTATTAAAGAATGTAAGGAAAGTGTAACCCGAGACCCTGAGGCCGCCGTTTGTTCACCCGCTTTTTTGGGACACGTGTCATGTGGCTGAGATTATGCTGAGGAGACAGGTTTTTATCTTGCTGTTTTTCAGTTATTTTAGGTGTTTACTCTTGTGCTTTCCCCACAAGAATTCAGCCCAGAGAACCTGTGTTCTTTGTACCCAACAGATCTTGGTCATCTTTCCTAGCTCAGGAAATGTTCACCTCACAGCCAGCAGTGACTGCTCTGCAGAAGTCAGGAGGAGCCAGTTATTTGAAGTTTAGAATTAAGAATTTTTCTTTTTTACAGGTGTGAGGTGCTTAGCCCAGGGCCTCATGTGTGCAAGGAAACTGCCCACCACTGAACTGTGTTCCATTTCTTAGCCCGGATTTCTGAAACTTAAAAACCTTCAAGGTCACTTGTGGACAGCCTGCAGATTAGGCCCATTTAGGCTAAGACGTCATGGGCTGAGCGCGGAGGCGCACGCCTCTCGGCCCAGCACTCGGGAGGCTGAGGCACGGGGTCGCTGTGAGCTTGCGGCCGTGGTCTGCAGTGAGACCCCGTCTGAGAGAGGCTGTCTGGCAGACACCGTAGCGGGCAGTTGTTCTCTGTTAACTCTAATAGCTTCAGACAAGACATTTCCGTATTTTGGGTGAGAACCCAAATCATGTTGGCGATTCTAAGACCAGTTCTCATTTCACAGTATTAAAGCCTCATCACACTTGAGTTGTCGTCACTCATCGAGTTTAAGTCTGGCTTAGAACTCGGGACTGAGTAAAAAGTTAAGTGAAACAGCGGTCTGTCCCCTTCCTGCTGAGCTGGGTCATCATCAATCCCATTACTGTCTGGCTTCGAGAGAGACTTCACCCTGGCCGGCATGCGTAGCTCTAGCTTCACAGTGTTCGAGGCTATCGCTCTGATACAGTTAGAGCACGATTTAAATATCACCACCAGGTTTATGTATTGTGTGAGTCAGTGAATTACACGGAACAACGGCGGAGGGTTTTGCAGGACCACAGCTTAGTCCTGTGACTATGATTAAAGTCCCGTCGTGGATAGCAGTCTGCTAACCCTAGGGCCCACCCCAGAAGGAGATGCAAAGAGTAACCACAGTGTGGCCGATTTTATGACTCCCTGCCTTTGCAGTGAAGAGCAGGTTTGTGGAAGGTGAGGACGGAGTCTGGGGCGGGCTGTGTCAGTGCTAAGATTTCAGTCACTGAATGAAACACAGTTTGCTCCTTAACTTTGTAACTGCGAGTGTTAACTACCCAAGTCCCTTGAGTGTTGGATTCAGGAGGAGTGCCCCCATGAGTCTCACGTCCTGTTCATGTTGTTCTGAACTGTAGCCCAGGCTGGCCTTGAACTCGAAGCAATCCTCCTGCCTCAGTCTCCCCAGTGCTAGGACTACAGGCATGAGCCACCACACCCAGCTTGGCAAGCATTTAGATTTCTAAATATGAACTGATTTTCCCCAGTGGTTTTTGTTAATCAGTGATACCTTTAGGAGAGAGAATGGCAGTGTGGAGGAGACCTTTCTGTCTGTCTGTCTGCAGGAATGGGTGACGGGAAGCTGAGGCCCTTGCTGGGTGGCGTGTTGGGGGTATGGTCTGTCGGTGTCTGTGTTTTACCTGGCACGCCAGGTGCTGGGAATGGCAGACATGCAGAGACTGCCTGCAGTGGGACCGGCCTCGGTGTTCAGCATCAGCACGTGCCTCTTGCCTTAGCAGCGCCGTCCAGGATGACTTAACTCTGAACGCAGCAGAAGGGCCGATCCTCCTACCTCCGGGCTGTGCTCTCCGGTGCCTCTTCCTCTGGCTAAGTCTCTTCCCTCTCTTCCCAGTTTATAACCAAGAGGAGGACTCATTCTACGTGCACCACGACATCCTCCTGTCTGCGTATCCTCTGAGCGTGGAGTGGCTGAATTTTGATCCCAGCCCAGATGATTCCACTGGTAATGAGGAATTTCAGGCTGTTTGGTACTCTGCAGACTCCGTGCGTGTGTGTGTCCAGAGCTGTTGCTGCTGTGTGAGACGCTGCTGTCCCTTCTGAGGCTGCACTCACGCAGCTCTGGACACACCGCTGCTGCACTGTAGGGTCTGTGTCTCCCCAGCCCTCAGGTAAGCCAGGAGGGCGCTGTCCCCTGCGAGCCCCAGGACAGGCCCTGGGCACCTGGGACTCGGCACTGATAGTGCCCTGTAAAAGCCAGTGGTGGCAGGGGTGGTCTGCGGCCCCCAGCTGGGTTTAGTGGCGTGACCCATCTGAGAACGACATCAAGTACAGCTGAAACGAGAGGCTTGTCACACGCGGTGTTTGTATTACCTTTGGAGCCACATCTGCAGGACTAATGGCGGTCAGCCCTGCTAACGCTGACAGCTTCCGTCTTGTTTGCAAAGCTTCCACACGTTCATCACCTGACCTGGGCTTCCCCGAAAGCTCACAAGACAGAAGGCGGGGTGGGCGGGCGGCCAGTCCTGTCCCTATGTGTAGACAAGGACCTAGAGGCCAGTGGTGAGGCCCGTCCTGTTTACTGTCCTCAGCGCCCCCCACCCGACCCCCAAGGTGGGCCCTGCAGTGTGAGCGCAGGACACACTCAGGCAGCAGTGGAGTCTCTGTGTCTCATTAGAGGTTTTCTGCCTTTTTTTTTTTTTTTTTTTTAATTAACCAAAAGCTCTTTGCTTCTGCAGGAAATTATATTGCTGTGGGAAATATGACCCCTGTCATTGAAGTATGGGACCTTGATATCGTGGACTCTTTAGAGCCGGTTTTCACACTTGGGAATAAGCTTTCTAAAAAGAAGAAAAAGAAAGGAAAGAAGGTAAAGAAGTCAGCAAATAGTTGGACCCTGCAGGCAGCGGGCGGAAGAGCGTGCACTCGCCCGTAGCCTGCTGCGTGCCGAGTTCTCCGCGGCCTTTTAAGTGGTCAGGTTTGGGCACCCGGGCGGTGTAGGCACTGGCAGAATTAGCACACAATTAGGAACTCTGCTTTCCCCTCTGCGAAGGGGATTTGTCTAAGGGAACAGGAAGACGAGTTCGTTTCCCAGCCAGTTTGCACCATGGCAGTGATCTTCGAAGGTGGCAGTTTTCACTGTAATAATTGAACTGTTATTCCAGAGTTCCTCCTCCGAGGGGCACACAGACGCCGTCCTTGACCTCTCGTGGAATAAGCTCATCAGGTAAAAACGGCATACGGCTGGGTGAAAAGCCTGCAGCTGTGTGGTCTGGAAGCCTTGTGCTCACTCCTGGGGTCCCCTGTGCCGCTGTCCCCACAGCCTGCGTGCGGGGCGGGGTGCTGGAGGGGAGGAGCGCTGGCTCCCTCCTGGACGGTCTGCTCGCCTCCCTCTCCCAGCTCAGCCACGCGCTCTTTCTTCTCACTTAAACTCTGGTAAAATACAAAGTCGGGACCCGCACTGTCCACACTGAGAGGAGAGTGCACCGGCTCTGTGCATCCCCCCACGACTTCATCTTCCCAAAGGGGATCCGCCCCGAGCCCAGAAACCCCAGCCCTCACGGCCACCCCGTAAAGATGACCGCCGTCCCCGTTGCACCTGGGTGGCATCCAGGGCTCGTTCCTTGGGCTGTGCACAGCAGCGGGGTTCGGGGCCTCCCCGACTGGCCCTGCTGCGGTAACAGCCTCAGGGAGTGCACAGCACGCCTCGTCCAGGCCCTGCTTCCCGGGCTCCAGGTGGTCCTGTCCTGTCCTGTCCCGTTCTGTTTTCCTCCCCGCTGCACCATGCTCTGTCCCCACCTGCAGTGTACAGGGTCCCCAGCGCCTCAGCCCTCCCGCTGTTCCTTTTCCTCTTTCTTCTGATGGCCGCCCTGTCACACGGTGTGACCCCTCAGCGATGGAGGCATGGGCGGCCCCGTGTCCGCCCTCGTGCACCTTCCAAGGTGTGTCCTGTGTGAGGCTCGTGTGCCTTGGTGGTGCGGCCGTGGAGCTCGCGGTGCTGCAGACGCTGAAGTCCAGTCAGAAGTGTGGCCTGCCGTGCCCCCTTCCATGGGAGGCGTCTTTTCACAGACCCGCCGGCGCGTGCTGTCCGTTGGTAGCCATGGCCAGCTAGAGTTCCTTGAATGTGCTTGTGGTGCTGTAACCGCGGCTGAGCCAGAGGTCACTGCCCTGGCCTGTGTCGGGGAACAGAAGCACCAGGGCCCTTGAGGCCTTGGCACCCGTGGCCCTGACAGCTGTCCTCGTGCAGGGCCTGATGTCACGATCACACTGACCTTCGGTACATGTTGAAATCAGGAAGGATGAGCTCCCCGACTTTGCTCTTTTCGAGGATTCCTTTTGGCCCCGCTGGCCCTTCCCTGGGACCTGGACAATCAGTTTGTCCCTTTAAGCAGCATCGGGGGCTCTGAGTGGCTCGGCCCACGATGGATGCCGTGCTTCTGTCTTGCAGTGCGACACGGTGTGAGCTTGTGCTGTGTAAGCTGGTGTCTCCAGCTCCCTCCCAGGAGTTATCCCCCTGCTGCTGTCCAGGAGTCCTGTACCCCTGACCTGTCTCTCCCCTGCTCAGGAACGTGCTGGCGAGCGCATCGGCGGACAGCACCGTCATTTTGTGGGACATGGCCCTGGGGAAGGCTGCGGCCAGCCTCGCCGTGCACACAGACAAGGTACGTGAGTCTGAAACAGCTGCTGGACAGAGGTTGGTAAAGGGAGCCCCAGAAGTTTACCTAGAGCACTTTGTTGTTTACACGGTGCTTTCATAGCTGGGCGGGACAGCTCTTCCCTATACTACCAGCACCCTGGGAGGCTGAGGCAGGGGACTGCGAGTTTGAGTCCAGCCCGGCAGTGTGGGGATCAGGGAGACCCTGTGTCGAGGGGCAGGGTGAGCAGCGGTGTGAGGGTTCTGTCTGCCCCTCTGTCTCCGGGTGGCGCGGTCACCTGCCGGCTCTCCGGATCTTCCCAGAGCCCGAGCTGCGGGCACCGAGCTCACCTCCGCGGCACGGAGCAGGTGCGGGCGGCGCGCAGTGCCAGGGCTCCCCCGTGAGAGGGACATGGAGTCCTCAGCTTGCTGGGAGCTGGGCGCTGCCCTGGACGGTGGATATTATCTGGCAGTACGTCATGCCTTTCTGAATATGCCGTGCGTTGGTTCCAGTTTTCAGTCCTGGGGACTGAAGCTGAGGCCTTCCCCCGCGTCTTTTGTCTCATTCACAGACAGGGTCTCTCCGAGTGGCCTAGGCTGCACTCAAGTTTGCAAGCCTCCCTCAGTGCCGTCATCGTGACTTTCTGCTGTCCTGCGTCCTCAGTGACGTGTGTCCTGGCAGACAGTGCTGATCGGGGCGTGTCTCTCCCTCCTCAGGTGCAGACTCTGCAGTTCCACCCATTCGAAGCCCAGACCCTCATCTCGGGATCTTACGATAAGTAAGAAGGTGGTCGTGGCCGTCCCACTGGGCCCACTCAGCCAGGGCCGCCTGGCCCCGATCGGGCGGGGCTGGGGTGTGCACCGCCCGCTCTCCTCTGCCTGTGGCCCCCTTCAGCCCGGAGGGGAGGCAGTGTCCTACCCGGGCCCGGGACGCGACTTCCCTTCTCTTTCTTTTCCTGGTAGAGGCAAGGGTCCAAGCTGCCGGCAGCTTCTTTGCCTTTGAAGATGAGTGCGTTAGCCTGGTTGTGAGACAGACTGTCCCACCTCGAGGGGCTTCGGGCACTGAGCGGGTTTCCTGTGCTGTGCAGCCGGGTCCTCCCAGCAGCCGTGCCCAGGCTGGCCCTTCCAGCCATGCAGGCAGATGTGGCTCTGTTCCCGGTGTGCCTGCCACCCGGTGCCTCCAAAGGGCAGAGTGCCCCGGACGTGGTGAGCAGAGGCGCCATGGCCCTGAGGCCCAGGGCTGAGAGCTGGCACACACGGTGGCCAGGCTGTGCTCTCCCAACAGTCTCCCACCCCTGCAGAGGCCACCCAGGCTCCCAGGCCCCCAGGCCCTGTGTGCCTGTCTACGCTGGGCCCGCCCGCGGGAGGAGACAGGAGCCGGCCGCACCCAGGCTTGAGGCTCCCTCGCCCTCTTAGAGTGGCAGTGCCCTGCTCTGGCAGCACTGGTGCCCAGGCGTGAGTCCTATGGCCCTGAGCCACGAGGGAGAAGAACGAAGAATGGCCTGGGCTCCTCCGCGGGAGGTCAGGGCCCGCAGTGCCTTCAGGCCACAGCATCAGTGTCACCAATCGGGAAGTTGGCTGTTTTCCCGACTGTATTTTAGGACTTTAAAACAGGCTTTGAGTAACTGAATTGTGACCTCGTTACCTGTGGGATGCGGGGCACTGGTCCCCAGCCCTCACGTGCCCACGTGTCCAGGTCGGTGGCGCTGTACGACTGCCGGAGTCCAGACGAGACCCATCGCGTGTGGCGCTTCAGCGGGCAGATAGAGCGGGTGACCTGGAATCCCTTCGCCCCCTGTCACTTTCTGGTGAGGACTGTGCCCTGCTGTCTGCCCTTCAGGCTTTCCTGCATGAGGCTCGTTCCGAGTGTCTGGAGTGCTTAGCTGAAAGCAAGACAGCGGCTCAGCCACAGAGCCCTGGTGGCTTCGTGACTGACGGCAGACTGCCCGCGGTGCCCTTGTGACACTGAGCTCGGCTGCTGTCCCGTTTGTCACTCAGTGGTCTGGGCAGTCCAGAGGACTGGCTCCCTTGATCCAGAGCTTTTTGAACCTGTGTAGCATGTAGCGAGGTCTCCACTTGGAAGAAAGCTAGGAGCTCTTTGTCCACACCTGTGGACCTGCTGGGTGACCATTCCCCCAGGGAGCATGGAGGCCCCACGGACGTCCCATCCCAGGCGGGTAACGTGCCACCCCGTGCGGGGCAGAGCCATCTGTGTGGTGCCCACAGAGCCTTTCCTCATGACGCAGGTGGCCCTGGGAGTCCTCGGTCTCGCCCTGCTCCCTGGGCACAGGAAGTGGCTGGTGGGTGCTGCTGAGCCAGGCGCACAGCCACCAAGTGGAGGTTCAGTGCTGCAGGGGCCATGCTGTCCTCTGGCTCTCCAGGATCAGACCATGTTGTATTCACTAACAAGCTGCCACAGATGCGTGCGGAGGGAGGGAGTGACCAGACAGTCCCCTTCTCCATTGGTCTGTGGCCCAGTCCCAACAGAACTGCCTCTGTTGTCCCTTCTTTCACCTCCCTGTCCTGCTTCTGGGCCAGTCAACAACCCGTCCCACCCCGCTCACCATGGCGTCGCCCTCCCAGCCTGCGGCCCAGTAGGCATGGTGGCAGAGCTGGCCCAGCTAACCACCCTTTGGCCTGGCCAGATGTGGTTGCTGGCATCGGAGTCTCAAGCAGCTGGTCCCCTGTGTACAGCTGTGACACCACTGTCCCCACAGTGACCTTGCCTCTTACTCTTCCAGGCCAGCACCGATGATGGCTTCGTGTACGATCTTGATGCGAGGTCAGATAAACCAGTATTCACACTCAACGCACACAATGACGAGATCTCTGGTGAGTGCAAGCGCGGTGTCCCCCCATGGCAGCCCCAGATGTGGGTGCGCCGTGGTGAGTCTGAGCCATGTGCCTCCCCAGGGCTCGAGCTGAGCAGTCAGATCAAGGGCTGCCTGGTGACGGCATCAGCAGACAAGTACGTGAAGATCTGGGACATCCTGGGCGACAGGCCAAGTCTGGTCCACTCCAGGGACATGAAGATGGTGAGGGCCCCGCGCGTCTCTGTGTTGCGTGTGACCCCGAGAATCGCTGCTGTGGGTGTCGAAGTCAGTTAATTCTGGGCTCCTTCAGGGTGGTGGGATGCTTGTTTCAGAGCCCATGGTGGACAGTCCCTTGGTGAGATCACAAAGGCTGGGGAGGACACAAGGGCCACATTTTTTGCCCACAGCAGGACCTCTTGGGCCCAGGGAAGCCAGAGCCACTGGAGTCCGTGTGATTATCTGTTGTGACCTCACCGCATACTGGTTCCCGCTGTACTGAGGTTGAGTCCAGTGTATGAGCTAGCAGGTTCTTTCAACAATCTGGGCACACGCCGTACAGAGCGCCGTGCGACTTAAGAGTGCAGCTGGAGCAGCACGCAGCTGTTAAGGCTGCATGTGCTTATCCAGCTGTGGGAAGGCTGGCTGTCGATGTCATCTTTCTGGTACTTTCCCGTGCTTATATTTAAACCACAGAACACACACAGTGGTCACCTGAGACTTGCGTACATTTTCCTGTTCGTGCTTTGTAACGTGTGTCCACCCAGTCAGTAACAAAAACATTAAGTGTTAAGTGACCCAGGCGATGGGGGCGTGGCCAGGGGAAAGCCTTGCCTGGCACAAGTGGGCCCTGGGGTTGGATCCTCAGCAGTGTCACACTGTAGTAATGACCTGTGCTGTCGCTGTCACTGGAGGAGTTGAGCTGCGGTGTCTGGACACTCCGCAGAGATTTCTAAGGAAATGGTGATGACAGTGGAGGCCTGAGTGCTCAGATCGTCTGCGCATCTGGGCACAGCTGTGTCACTCACCCCATCCCCATAGCCTGCAGACCCGCGGCACTTCGGCTTTGTGTAACCACCCAGACCCGAAGTTCCTGGGGGCCAGCTCGGGTCCACAGCACTCACTGGCCTGTCCTCTCCCCAGGGTGTCCTCTTCTGCGCCTCGTGCTGCCCTGATCTGCCATTTGTCTATGCCTTTGGGGGTCAGAAGGAAGGCCTGCGCGTCTGGGACATTAGCACCGTGTCTTCAGGTGAGCCCTGGCTGCCTGCATGTGGTGTGACTGCGGGATGGGGGGCAGTGAACAGGGCAGGGCAGCGCAGGTCGCCCCGCAGTGGGCACCAGGCCTGAGAAACGCGCATGCTGCACACGTCGGGCCGGGTGCAGGTGGTTTCCACAGTGTCCTAGGACCGACAGTCGGTAGGGAAGCTGGCCATGGCGGGTCTCCCCTCCCAGCAACCGCGCGAATCCAGCCCGAGAGGCCCAGGCCTGTCTCCAGGAGCTGGCTCGGACACCAAGAGCCACCTGCAGCGGCACACGGGCCACAGGCTCGCCCAGCTGCGTACATGTTTGAGCAAGTCTGGTGTCCCCCACACGGAAAATGTCCCTGCCGTGACTCTGGATTCTGCCCCCTGCAGAAGGGTCCCAAGGCTTCCCTCTGGGCGGTTCGGATTTTACCTCGAGTGGGAAGGACCCCAAATCCAGAAGGTTGTGTGCTGGTTACCATACCCGGCCGGACAAAGGGAACAAAGCAGAGTAAGGAGAGGACAGGTCCAGTGCTTCCATTGGGGACATCTGTGACCAAGGCAGGCTAGATAAACCCAGGACAAGCCCAGGCAGACAGCAAACAAAACAGGTCATTAAAACCCACTTCACACAGCACGGTCACTCAGGTCTCCAAGCAGCCTGCTTTCCCGCTCATGAAGTGTTAGACATGCTGTCATGAACTCCCCTGACGATTTCTTCCCTGTTCAGTAAACGAAGCCTTCGGAAGACGAGAGAGGCTCGTTCTCGGCAGTGCCAGAGGCTCGGCTGTCAGCGGCCCTTTCAGGGACAGGAGCACGGAGACCCCGATGGAGTCCTAGTGGTGGCACGCCACTGCCCGTGTGTCCCTGGCCGGGGGCTGTGCACAGCTGCAGCTGTGGGAGGGGTGACAGCGGTGACAGCAGCTCTTTGATCCTCCCTGGCTGCCTCCATCTACCACTGGACAGCAACGCGTGGGGCTTCATGCCTGCCTCGAGTGGGTGCTATGTTGTGTCCTTGTATTTTCAACGATAATTTAAAAATTGTTTTTAAACTGTTGAGTTCTTACCGTACTGTTGCACTAAATCTAGGTTTGTAAAGTAGGTAGTAACCTAGAGGGAACATCCTTGTCTTCATTTCAAACAGTTCATTATGTTGCCCAGGCTGGCCTCAAACTCCTGGGCTCAAGTAGTCCTCCTGCCTCAGCCTCCTGCATACTTGGGATCCCGAGTGCGTGCCACCACACAGGCTTAGAATTTTTTTTTTGTCTTTTTCCTTTTTTTTTATTGGTACTGGGGATCGAACTCACGACTGTCTGCTTGTAAGGCAGGCACTTATGCTGCTGAGCTAAATCCCCAGCCCCAACGCATTAGAATTTTAAGAAGAGAAAATCCTGTGATCTTAATGCGTAAAATGATGCCCAGATATGTGTTTCCCGACGGTTCTCACATGAATGCTCGTGATTCTGAGTGCGCACACTCTGGTGAATACAATCTCACAGGGCCAAACGGTGCCCAGCACTGCCAGCGGGAGCCGGCACACTTGTGCTCAGACCCGGGTGCCGGGTGCAGTGCGCCAGGGAGGTGGGGATGAGAAGGCCTTTGCCCTCCATCCAGCAGCTCGCCTGACTGCGGAGTGGCTTCCTATGGCACAGGCACGTTAGCAGGAGGCTGGAAGACGCCGTTCAGGTCAGACAGGCGGCATAAAGGGCTTGGGGCTGGGCTCACCATGGGCAGCACACCAAAGCCTGGAGCAAACGCAAATGCTTGCTCTTTGCTTCAGTTTGGGGTGGGATCAGACGCTGAAGTAGGCTCTGGCTCGGGGTCCCCAGGCCCAGGCCTCGGACTGGCACTCTAAGAGCCGCGCTGCACAGCGAGAGGTGCCGGGGGGCAGCCTCATTTGGGTGGGCAGCTGCTCCCTGCAGAGCTTCCATCCCGAGCACCAGCTCCTGTCGGCCCGGCAGGGTTAGGGTATCAGATTCTCAAGGGTGTGCACACCCCGAGAATCCAGTGTAATAAGGGAAATAAAGTGCACAATAAATATAACGCTGTAGCCACCCCCAAACACACCACCACTCCCCACTACCACGTCCCTGGAAAAACTGTCACAGACACAAAGCTCGAGAACCAGTGTCCTGGATGACTCAGAAGTCACGGGTGGAAACCAGTAATGGCGGTGAGTGTAATGGGGTCTGCCGCAAGGTGGTGCCCGGCGTACCTGCACTGCAGACCGGACCAGGGCCAGCGCTGCACTGCGAGTCCAGAGAGCTGCAGGGGGGTGCGTCCCGTCCGGGCTCCTTAACATCGCCCCGCTCCCGAATCTGAGCACCAAGGTGGGCAGCCACAGAGCGAGCTCCCCAGGAACTCACAGGCAGAGTCCCCAGCCACTGGCAGACTGGATGCCACCAACCTGGAGACCCAGAGACACACAGGTGGCTCGGCAGAGGCAGAACAGTGACAGTGACATGGACGGAGAATGGGGACAGGAACCACGAGATAGTCCCAATAGGTCCAGGAAAGGCCTTAGAGGAAACAGCCTCCCTTCAGGATGAAAGCCCCGAACCTGCTGGGTGTGGGAGGCTCATCTCACCGCAGTGCGGGCCCCTGGGGCGGACATGTAAGTGACAGCACCTGCAAGGGGAAAGGGACGCACTCCTCCTGTGAGTGGAACAGGACGAGGCTGGCGCCGCTTACTCAATAGCAACTGCGAATGGGTAAGAGAAAGGACTGATGGGAAGCAGCCCAATTCACCCTTTTGCTGATGACACGATCTGTGTACACTGGGAAACCTAGACTGCACCGAAGACAAAGCCAGTGAACTCTGCCAAGTTGCAGGATACAAAGCCAACATGCGAAAGTTGGCAGGTTTCTGAACAGTAATGAGCACGCTAAGGAAAATGATCAGTGCAGTCCCACTTACAACAGCCACACAAAAATACCTAGCAAGAAACCAAGGAAGAAAAACATTACTGATGAGAGACACTGAAGACAGAAGCGGGAGGGCCTGTGGTCACGGGCTGGGAGGTAAGTCACTATTAGACGCCCAGGCTGCCTACGCCGTCCGTCAAAACACCAGTGACGTTCTCGAGAGAGCTGGAAGGTTCTGAGACTGGCGGGAAACAAGTACATGCCGACCAGTGGAACCGGGCTGCTTTTTCTTGACCAGAAATGCGCTGTGAGCTCCCTGCGGCTTGTGGATGCTGAGTAACCTGCCCTTCTGCTAGCCCTGGCCGCCACTGGGAAGGACAGGACAGCGCCACCTCCAGCTGTGGATCTGGCCCTCCCTGACCAACCCCACAGCACCTCGCTCAGGTGCTGCCTGCCATGAAGCCCAGGGTTCACGCCGGCCAGCCCACCCAAGGTGCAAGGCCGCTGCTGGCCGGGGAGTGCGCCAGGCCTGAGGAGGGGCCCGAGCGCGCCTCCTGCCCGCACCTGCAGAGCCTCCGCTGCAGGACACACAAGCAGGCGGGCAGCATGCTCCCCGCACACTCCCTGGGCGGGAGCGGTAAGTACATGACACTGGTGTTCCCAGAGTTTACTGCCAACACCTAGAAAACATGGAGACCCTACTTTCTAATGTCCCATAAGAACACGATAAACTGAAACACACAAGCACTAGGGACCATGCCTGAGGACGAATGTGTTCCCTGTGCCTGGGCAGCTTCAGCTGAGGTCACCCAGTCTCCACGGAGCGTGACGAGGGACTCGGGAGGCACACCTTCCCAGAGCAGGCCGTTGGCTTCCTCCGTCCCACTGCAAAGCCCACATCCAGCCTGAACTCGGCGGCAGAATACAGAGACGTCACCAGGTGGACAGAAAATGACCCAGCATGCAGCCCCGGAGCCCTCTGGCTCCGGAAAGGAGGTGGCTCTCAACACTGATGGCCGAGCCTGTGTGGCAGCACCCCAGGTGGTCACCCCTTAGAGAGGAACGATCATGGGGCTCTGCTACCCTGGCTGGTGGTGAGCCAGACCATGGAGGGCAGCGCACCCAGTGGTGCAGGGAGGGCCGACCCTGGTCCCCTGCCAGGGTACATCCCAGTGACATATCTCCCACCTCCAGACCCTACCTCCGGAAGCACCAAGGGCTGGGCCCAAGCCTTCAACTGCCTAGCCCTTGCGGGGCATTCAAAACCCAAACCGCAGCACCCAGGCAGGCACCCTGGGAGACTCCACTTCCAAAAGGGCGGCCCATGAGCAGCACAGAGCCCTGCCACTTCCTCCGCCTGTCTGTACTTGTCACACATCCTGATGCAAGTTAAACGTGTGAGCTGGGAAGCGTCAGACTGGCTCCTGCCACGGGAAGGAACCCTGCTGGGGTGTGGGCCACTCCCAGGCACCTGCGCTGCCTGCCGGACGCACTGTCCCTTCTCCTCCCCGAGCCCCGCTCCTCTTACCCGCTGCAGAGCCAGGCCCGCCTCCCTTCAGTCCTGCGCCGAGGCTTTAGCAGCCTGTACCTATGTGGTCACGCACATAACGACATTCCAGCCAAGCAGTGTCTCAGCAGACACTGACACATCCCTGTGCTGCTGATGTCACTGGTGTGGCAACGTCAGAGCACCATGCCCTGCATGGTAGGTGCCAGCTGAAACAGCTTGTGCAAGGCCACACATTACATACCCGATGTGATTGCCAACGGCTTTGCACTTAGTGAGGTAGGAGCGTGCTCCTTCAGAGCACGGCGTGGTGGAGCACACCTGTAATTCTAGCACTCAGGAGGCTGAGGCAGGAGGACTGCCATAGCCTGAGGCCAACCTGGGCCACACAGTGAGTTCAAGACCTGAACCACACAGGGAGGCCCTGTGTCTAGTACTGTCCTACTGGGAAGCTTGCTGTGGCTCAGCAGCTCCACTCCCTGCACCAGCTGCAGCCTCAGACACCGAGTTCCTCCTGTCCCTGGATGGCATCGAGAGGCCACGTCCAGTGACCCCACATCTAGGTTTGTGCAGGAACACCCTGGGACACTTCCAGCACCCGGCGCTGCTGCGGCCTGACACGCAGCCCACTTACGTGTCGGCACCTGTGTCCTGTGGGCTCCCCAGCCAGCTTGAGAGCCACCTGCACCCAGTGGGGACGGAGCGGCCACTGATGGCTCTGACTCCTCAGGTGTCAGCAGAGCACCAAGTCAGGTCCCGAGGTACTCAGAACGCACCAGCAGAGGCAGCAACGGTCACTGTACCCCCACCCTCCACACCACACACACACACACACACACACGCACGCACGCACACACACACACACACACACGCGCTAGGCAGGGCCAGTGCAGCCACAGCTTCTGAAGAGCAGGCTGCCCGATGGCTCAGGAGAGCCCGGGCCTGACACTGCCAAGCGTGTGCTCATGAGACAATCAAGAAGGCCATCTCTGAGCTGACCCACCCCTCCTGGCCTGGAGAGACCTGGGGGGTCCTCCTGCCTGCGTGCTGCCCAGCTCCCCTGGAGCACGAGTCTGCAGAGGGTACCAGGTCAGCACCAGGCTCGCCAGGGACGGCGGAGATCCAGCTCAGAATGATCACCACGTCCTGTACTTAAAAACGTGTTTATTTTCATCCTTCCTAGAGGAATACAGATCTGAATGAATACATTCATTCCATAAATACATTAGCAGCAAAAGCGTCACCAGAGTTCCCTGCCCCAGCCCGGAGGTGGGGCCTTCTGGCGAGAGCGAGCCTGGCACACGCGTTCTGCAGTGGCTGCACCACCCCTGCCCCTGCGCCTTTCAGCCCCTCACACCTTCCCGCCCGCCTGGCAGTTCCTCAGAGCCCTGCAGTGCATCTGGGTGGGGCAGCACCGCTGCTGGGAACTGGGAACACACTAACGGCGGCTTGATCCTTTTCACGGGGACACAAACAGAAAGACCGCTCCTTCCCTTCCCTCCCCACCCACGCCATCTCAGGAGCACGGGCACACCTGCTGCCAGGGGCAACCAGGCCGTCTGGGCCTGGCCCCTCCAGACTCCTGGCCCCGTCTTGGTGGGGGGGCTTTACTAGGGTCACAGCCATGGCTAGGCCTGCCCAGATCTGCCGGCATGATGGCAGGGCGTTCCACCCTGGCTCCCACTGAAGCCAGCCAGCCCTGACTAAGGTGCCACCATCCTCGCCCTCGTCTTTTCCCGGCCATCTGAGCTAAATCTCATTCAGTGGGCAAAGGCCGCTTTGACGCATCTCCCAGATGATCACGGAAATTAAAGAACCGACCTTGGAAAACTCGGCCTTTCCCTGCCCACCCATCGCCAGAACTGGGACGCCGGCCTCTGCTCTGCCTCCGCTGTGTTGGAACTGCAGGCTGCAGGGAAACTGGGAACCCCGCCATGTGAAGCCACTGGCCACCGGCCGGACGCATCTACCCGCCGTGTTACTTGTGCGTGGAGAGGGGCTCATCCGCCGAGTACAGGGTGCCGCCCATCTGGCAGCCCGCCGTGCCCACAGGGTCGGCCAGGCCCTCGTCCTCCGAGTCGTCCTCCTCGTCCTCGTCCTCCTCGGGGGCGGAGGAGCCGGCGGCCGGCCCCTTGCAGGTCTTCAGGTGGCGGGTGAGGTGGTACTTGGTCAGGTAGGCCTTCGTGCACTTCTCACACACGTAGTCGCGCTTCCCTTCGTGGGAATTGAGATGCTTCTTCAGGTGATTGGTCCTCAGGAAGAGCTTGTCACACTTGGGACACTTGATCTGCCGCTCTCTACGGGGACAGAGAAGCGTTTTCACAGGGACCCAGCCACAGTGCCCACCACTCCCTGGGCACTGGCTGCCGGGAGGACACACACCAAGCTCCCTCTAGGGCTCTGAGGATCAGAGGGCGATGACCTCAGATCCTACAAAGGTTGCCAACCTCCAGGGCAGCGGGTCACCGCCTGCCGTCCCGGAGGGCAACACGGAAGCCAGCTGGAGGCTGAGGCAGCCTGGCTCCAGCGCCCTCTCCACAGCTCAGCGCCCGCTAAGGGACTGCAGCACCACCCCGCTGGTGCCACTCACTGGGGCCTCCCGAAAACAGCAAGGCGGCCCGACAGAAAGGCTCCCTAAGGGCGGGACCTGCATACCGCCTCCCTCCCTCCCCTGCCATCCGGGGTGGACGGTGCCTTCGAGGAGGGAGTTGGCTCGGCTGAGTCAGGAGCTGGGGCCTCACAGGGGTGGAAATGGACGGCGGGCTCTGACTTCCTGCCCCCGCCCAAGCGGCTCACAGAAAGTCTGTTTTGTCAGCTGAGGTAAGGGTGCTGTGCACAGGGTCCCAGGGAGCACCCCGGGCTGGTGGGCTGCTCCTGGTGGCTCCCCCTGCTGCATCCCTTTCCACCATGTAGGCCTGGGTGTGACTAGATGACCCCAGAAGTCTCCAGCACTGCACAATTCTATACATTTGACAATTGTCATGTGATTTTCTAATCTTTTACGCCAGTAATGAAACTGAGGAAGACTTTGTTTTGAAAAGTCCTTTACAGCTGGGCACAGTGACGCACACCTAGAATCCCAGTTACTTGAGAGACTGAGGCCGAGTAATCTCAAGTTCACAGCCAATCTGGGCAGCAGAGCAGGACACTTATCTCAGGAAATATGATAAAGATAAGGGACAGGAGGGAGGGTGGAGGGAAATATGATAAAGATAAGGGGCAGGAGGGAGGGTGGAGGGAGGGAGAGGGCTGGACAGAAGCGAGCGCCCCTGCAGCCCTGCACAGCGGATGCGGACTCCAGCTGCCCAGGGTCCCTGCAGGCTGTAGGCAGCGGCCACAGGCACCGGTGCTGAGCGAAGCGTCTCCCCAGCCCTGCGTGAACAGTGCTCCCAGCCAGCGGGGCCACTCAGGGCCCCTGTCCTGGCTGCCCACCCTCTTCACACCTCTGGGAGTGAGGACCACTCCTGCAGCTGGGATGAGCTCAGGCTCATCCAAATACGTCTCAACCTTTGGTCTCTGCCTCTGCCCCTTCACTCTGGCCACCACGACACCCCCCTTCCTTGGGGTCCCAGTGCCTGCACAACACGGGACACAACATTGCTGAGGGACAGCAGCCTCAGCTCAGACGTCCCTGCCTGCCCCCCGGCCCCTGCGTTCCTGCTCCTGCGCGAAGCCATCCTCACTCCTCACCCTGCTGCCTCCCTGGGAACCCCGCTCCCGCTCCGAGGCAGCCCAGACCCACAGGCGCTTTGCCAGCCTGGTTCCCCATCTCCCAGCGCCCAGTGGGCAGGGCACTGCTGGCGTCTCCTGCTGGCTCTGCCTGGACGCCGAGCTCTTCAGGACAAGGCCAGGGTGTTTCCTCTCCCTGTCCTTACCACGCCAGGCATCATGGGAGTAAGGTTTGCAATTGTTAATGAATGACATTATGTTGTGAAAACAGGAATAAAAATAAATACAGAGAGCAGAACTGAGAAGCAGGGACAGGCAGCAGCGAAGTGCGATCTCCGTGGCTAACCCCAGCCCACCGCACGCCCGGGGCGGGAGCCCCACGCACTGTGTGTGAGTGAGCACGTGCTGCTTGAGGTCCTGCCGCCGCATGAACAGCTTGTCGCAGTAGTCGCACTTGAGATTCTTCTCCCCAGTGTGGATGACCATGTGGGACTCCAGGTGAGCTTTCTGGGTGAAGGACTTGTCACAAAGAGCGCACCGATAGTTCTTCTGGCCTGCAAGGACCCCAAAACCACATGCTGCAAATAAACTCTCTAGGCTTCCTCAAGCCCAGCAGCGCCTGCCTGTGTGGGGCGGCCAAGGCAGGGCGGAGGCGTGTTTCCAGCTGTCCTGGGGCACCTCCTCCTGGGACCTCCGCCGGGCACCCCAGGGCTGACTAAGGGCCGACTGGAGGCGGGCACCTGGGTGTGAGAGCACCCCAGCCTGGGAGCCGACCTGGAAGCACTTTCTCCCGGTGGGCCTGGCCATGCACACGGTTTTACAAGCTGTGCTCTGCACCGCTGGGTCTCTTGTGAGATGTGGCAACGACCCCTGGACCCGGCAGTCAGGTGGAACCCCTCGGCCAAGGCCAATCAGATCTGCCTAAGCCAGGCGGCACAGCCCACCCCACGGGAGGAAGCAGAGGCCCTCGGCAGGTCCAGAGGCCTGGCCAGCCAGGACGCTGGCCCTCCAGGTGTTTCAGACACATCTGGAGAGTACAGGGCTGCTCTGGCGGAGTTCAGGAAATGTAAGCACGGGTCCGGTGCCGGCCACAGGCACTGGGCCGTCCTGGAGAGGCGGCTCCCGAGGGGGCCCAGTGTTCTCCTCACTGGCTGTGCTCCCCAGGGGTTCTGCGGTGAGCACCTCAGCCTCCTGCAGAACCTTAGCAGCTGTAATTGGCAACGGCTATAAAACCTCATTCTGGGACTAGACGTGCAGCTCAGTGGTAGAGCGCCTGTCTAACGTGTGTAAGGCCTGGGCTCATGGGGGAGCCCCCCAACACACACACCCACAAATCCCCTTCCCACAGCCCAGCCCAGCTTACCCGTGTGTATCTTGAGGTGGGTACGAAGGTTGCTGGGGTCACTGAAAGCCTTGCTACAGAAATCGCATTTGTGGGGCTTCATGCCCATGTGGCCCATGAAGTGGACGTGCAGCTTGGAAGGGGAGATGAAGGCCTGCGGGCACATGGAGCACTTCCACTTCCTCTCCTTGCTGTGGCTGGGCCCGTGACCGCCGCCGTGGCCCTGGCCGGGGAGGTGGCTGTGGATGTGGCTGGTCAGATGGGCCTTGAACTCTGTGTAGGAGCTGCACTCCTTCCCGCAGTTGCAGAGGTGCACGTCCGGGTGCTCGGGAACACCTTGAAAGGTAAGTCCCTCAGGGCCTCCCGACACAGTTCGAGAGGCTAGACTGGCTGGTCACAGTGGCTGGCAATTCACCCTTCTACCAACACTGCCAACTTCCTACACAATTAAGATTTCACATGCCAGACTATTTTCACCATTTAAAATAATGTACCAGACACATATAACATAGCTGCGGAGGATCAGTAAGGTCTCCTTCCTGCAGGTCCCACAGCTCACTCTAACTCTTGAACATAACTTATCAACAAGACGCAGTGAAACAAGAAAAGTATGTCATTAAATCAGAGTACGAGACACTGCTGACCCCCATGAACCTGGCCCTGGTACTAGCAGCTCAGACAAGAGCCTCAGAAACTTACATCTCCCTTCTGACAAATCGAAGTCACGCCACAAAGGCGAATTTCACTTGAATGCCACTTGGTCACTAACACTCAGCTGGTGAAGAGCCTCACAGATCTGACATCTCAAGTACAGAAGTAAACCTTGACTTCATGTGCACAAAAGCACACACCTTACTTCAGCTGCCTGAGAATCATGACCAGAACTTGGTTTCTGGCTGCAGGTGGTTTTACCAGGCTGGATCATGACATACTCACCCATCTGCTGAGCGTAGTCCCGACTGTAATAGAAAAGCAGCTCGTTCTCGGGAGGGATGTCCTGGGAGGTGCAGAAATAGATCTTCCCATCGTGAGGATAAGCCACCAAATTCTGCTCTTCCCGATTCCTAAGTCAGCACAGGGAATCGATTAAGCCTATTAACTTGTATTTTCCTAAAGGGACAGGGTCTCTGTTGCCAGAGCCAGCCCCTCACTTCTGGACCCCAGTAACCCTTGTGTGTAGGCATCCTGAGCGGGTGGGGCTACAGGTGTGTGTCATCACCTGGCTGAGCAGACAGTTTTCCCTCAGGGCTGGGGATCAAGGCCGGAGAACATGCTAGGCAACAACTCTACCACTGGGCCACATCCCCAGCCCCTCAGCAGATGCATTCTGAAATGTACACATATATCGGATGCTCTGTAGCGAAGTCCTACAGGACTTCTTAGATAGAACTGGCTAGGTCATTTTCAGAACTCCCTACCCTCCCTATTTAGGAGGGAGCTGTAGAGAAACAGGGTTTTTTCCAGTACTGGAATTGAGCTCCCTGACCCACATGCCAGCCCTGTTAGATTTTACGGCAGGGTCAGCTAATTCACTGAGATGCCCAGGCTCAAACCTGCGGCCCTCTTGCCTCAGCTACCTGGAATGCAGGGTTCCTTCCAGGCATGTGCTACCCGGCCTGGCTGCATTAGCTGGTCACCCTCAGTGTCAGTTACAGTCGCAAACCCCCGAGAGCGCTGCAGGAGCAGAAGCAGTACAGTACCGTTCTAAGAGAACATCGGACACAGACGGAGACCACTAGCTAACAAGAATTAACTGGGTACAGCCTGAAGAGCTGACCAAAAGCCACCAGGGGGAGATGCACCCACTCCCATTCAGGGGTGACTGTACCATCCTCCTGCACTGGGAAGCTGAATAAGCCATTTGCATAGGAAAGGTCAGGGATGCGGGCACTGATTTATGCCCTCCCGGTCAGCCACTGCCCAGCGAAGTCGCTGCAGCCTTAGGGTTCAGTGTCAGCGCACCAGGACTCTGCAGCCCCTCCTGTCCCGCGAGCGCTCCTGAGGGAGGACGCCAGAGTAGCGGCCTGCCCATCTCCAGCACTCACCTGGCTCTGCGCACAAACATCATCCAGTTGCACTCGTTCTCGTCGGCCGTGATGATGCAGAACTCCAGCACGCCGCCGTGGTAGATCTGCAGGAGCGCAGAGCCTCCAGTGACGGCGCTGTGACAGAGGCTGCCCGCCCACCTCCACGCAGTCCAGCCTTGCACGGCGGCCTGCGCTGGCACTGACCTTTCCCGGCCCTCCGTTCCCAGCACACAGCAGAGGCCGTCAAGGCCTCCAGCATCCATCTGTGCACAGAGGACCTGGCTCTAACTGTGTCACTTTTTCACTAGACATGGAATCCAGTCCACCTGGCTAGCTGTCCACAAGGGGCAGAGCTGTCCACCAAGGGCGATGGAAACCAGTCCACCTGACTAGCTGTCCACCAGGGGCAGAGCTGTTCACCAGGGGCAGAGCTGTCCATCAAGGGCGATGGAAACCAGTCCACCTGACTAGCTGTCCACCAGGGGCAGAGCTGTTCACCAAGGGCGATGGAAACCAGTCCACCTGACTAGCTGTCCACCAGGGGCAGAGCTGTTCACCAGGGGCAGAGCTGTCCATCAAGGGTGATGGAAACTAGTCCACCTGACTAGCTGTCCACCAGGGGCAGAGCTGTCCACCAGGGGCAGAGCTGTCCACCAAGGGCGATGGAAACCAGTCCACCTGACTAGCTGTCCACCAGGGGCAGAGCTGTCCACCAAGGGCGATGGAAACCAGTCCACCTGACTAGCTGTCCACCAGGGGCAGAGCTGTCCACCAGAGGCAGAGCTGTCCACCAAGGGTGATGGAAACTAGTCCACCTGACTAGCTGTCCACCAGGGGCAGAGCTGTCCACCAGAGGCAGAGTTGTCCACCAAGGGTGATGGAAACTAGTCCACCTGACTAGCTGTCCACCAGGGGCAGAGCTGTCCACCAAGGGCGATGGAAACCAGTCCACCTGACTAGCTGTCCACCAGGGGCAGAGCTGTCCACCAAGGGTGATGGAAACCAGTCCACCTGACTAGCTGTCCACCAGGGGCAGAGCTGTCCACCAAGGGTGATGGAAACCAGTCCAGCTCACTAGCTGTCCATCAGGGGCAGAGCTGTCCACCAAGGGTGATGGAAACCAGTCCACCTGACTAGCTGTCCACCAGGGGCAGAGCTGTCCACCAAGGGCGATGGAAACCAGTCCACCTGAGTAGCTGTCCACCAGGGGCAGAGCTGTCCACCAAGGGTGATGGAAACCAGTCCACCTGACTAGCTGTCCACCAGGGGCAGAGCTGTCCACCAAGGGCGATGGAAACCAGTCCAGCTCACTAGCTGTCCACCAGGGGCAGAGCACAGGCCCTCACCGCTCCTCCAGTTGGCCAAGCACTGCTATGTTCCATCAGGGTGCCACAACTTCAGTGGCACCCCTTTCCAATCATCAGACGCCGGTCTCCCCGTCTCCGGGAACTCCCAGTTCCCTGACTGAGCTCCCACAGCTCAGGAATCGCATTCTGTGCCGAAACCCTGCGCTCACACTGGATAACTAGAGAAAGTTTCACTTTCTAATTCTACAACTATTCCCCAGGCAGAATAGTTAAAAGTTTTATTTAAAAGTAAGATTTTTGTCATAAAAACAAAGTCCATAGACTCAGCAGCCACGGGAAATTCAAATGCATAAAAATGATGAAAACCATCAGGGTCTCTCCAAATGGAGACTGAGCCAGCTTCTCTACTTGCTCAACAGCTGGTGCGTTACCCAGCTACCCCGAGCCCGAGAGGCTGTGAGGTAAAAGGGAACGGCTGACAGGGAACAGCACTGTTTCAGTTGCGGCACAGAGTGACTCTGGAGCGTAAGCTATATCACAATAAAACAGCCGAAAATCAGAGCAGTCATCACCACTGACCTTCCAGATGTGGTTAACAGCCTTGTCCGTCCACTCGGCCACCTCCATGGAGTGACTCTGCTGACCAATGAGAGGTCCAAAGCAAGTCCGCACCGGAATGGTCTCGCTGGTCCACACACCTGTGAGCAGAGGGACAACCGGACACACCCATGACCGGAGGACGCACAGGGCAGCTCACTGGCCTCGCGTCTGGTACTGCTGCTGAGGGGTGGCGAAGGCTGGGCGCCTGGACTGACAGCTCAAATGCACTCAAGAGAGGAGATGCAGCTTCGCACCAGAAATTCCTGCCTCCCTCTGCGGGGCCAGGCACCCGGCCCTCCCTCCGAGGCCTTGATACAGGAGGACTGAAAATGTTGGCTATTACAGAAACATGCAGCAAGTGTTACAGAACAAACAAACTCCTAAAGCCTTCCTGTAGAAAGCTTTGCTCTGTACAGCGTAAGCTGCTGTAAAGACTCGCCCAAAGCTGCAGCTGACAGAGGGATGAACCTCACTGTTCACTTCAGCACTCGGAGCCACCTTAGATTTACACACTGGCAAAGATCTCTGGGCTCTACAACCCTCCCTCTGCTTCCGAAGGAGAACCAGCTGGTGTCAAAGATTTGATCTGCACAGCGCCGGTGCCATACACTATCAGCGGTGAATTTTCCACGGTGTGGTAAGCTCCAGAGTGTGTCAGGGTAACTGCTAGCGGGCGACAGCTGGGAATGAAAGCCGGGGCCTCAAAGGCTCAGACCGTGCTCTCTCCCTTAGTTCTGCCTCTCAGGCAGCAGAGGTTCCCTAATGAAGTGTTCAGCTCGATTTACTGCTGTCACCAGCAGACAAAACAGGTATTCCCTGAAACATAAATTTTTAAGCTGTAAATTGACTTTTGGACCAACTAAGTAATGACTCGGTTATGTATACCCACTTCCACAGCTGCACCCTACAAAGGCAGAGACCTGGTGTGGGCTTGTGCGGTTCCAGGGGTCTTACCGACGTCCGCTCCCACGACCGACTGGCGGAGGACGAGCTGCTTTGGGAGAGACAGCCTCGCTCTACTCTCTATTGGAGAATCAGGAACAAAAGTCACCGGCCCGTGGTCAGGGCAGTCTGAGGGGTAGGCGCGGTCACACAGTGTGCACCCTGAGGACAGCAGATTTAACAGACACAATGGTGTAGCTCACACAGGCTCAGCCACCACCTGGCTTTTCAATTAAATGCTACTTATTAAGTAAGATGTAAGTGGCAGGGTTCTCCCAGCGAGGCTCTGAGCGGAGAACCGTCTTCCAACACCAGCACCTCATCCGCTCCCACAGCTCTTGTCACGCTTCAGGGAGATCTGGACTCACAGGACAACCTCCTGTTTGGTGCCTTCCAGGCAGACTGTCAGGAAACAGCTCAGGGGCTGGGCGCGGCTCCGGAGAGCATGAGGAAGACTCGGGGTTGGAGCCCCAGCACACGAAGAATTACCAGATTTTAGAAAGAGCGTGGTATTACATCAACAGCCTAGTACAGTAGTCCATCAAGCACACGAACCATACTTTTAGACAGGTGACTGAGACACACAATGGGGGCTCATTTCTAAAGAATTTTTGTTACAGTAAAAGACACACTGCCAGGCAGCCCCGCAGCCTCCCCCGCTCTCCCAGAACGTGCTCGTTCTCTCTTTCCTGCCGCTGTCTGACACAGCTTTGCAAGTTCTCTTTCCCAGCGGCGTCCTTAGGTTTAGGCGCACGTGGCTGCCTCACCACTCTGGAGTGGTTTAAAACACTTCCATTTCCTGGTAGTCTGACTTGGGAGCAGAGCCCCAGCAGCCTGCGGTGCCAGGAACAGTGAGCACAGAGGCCAAGCACCACTGCCCTCTTCCCACTGGCTGCCTTTCTTTCCGATGGCACTTGGCAACAGCTGTCACCATATTTGTGCTCACACCCTGTAAAGACACTCAGGAAAGAGGACTTCCTTCTGCGCTTCAGACAGTGACAGAACACTGGGACAGTGTGCTCACAGCAGGAGCCGTGCTGTGAGGACTGTCCATGGCAATGCTTCTCTTACTGTAATGGATTTTTTTTTCTATCTGTACTGGCGATCGAACTCATGACCGCCTGCTTGCAAGGCAGGTGACTGTAATGGATTTTTAACTTAGACACCCAGCATGCATGTGACCAGCCCTTGCATGCTATCCTAACATACAAAGGAGTGTACTCTGAACGGCAAGAGGAACCTGAGTTGAAGTGTAACAGTTGTGCAAAACAGAAATATTGGTGACAAAATAGGACAGTGGAGTCAGGACAAGCTCTATCACTGGTTTTACTCTCCTATAAAGAGGTCACATTCTTGAGACAAAAATTTTGAGACCTGCCCCTTTGAATCACTTTTTTTTCTGGTTTTTTTTGAGACAGGGTCCCACGATGTAGCCCAGGCTGCCCTAAACTCACACAGCCCTGCCGCAGCCTCCCTCCCAGGCCGGGCCTACAGATGTGCGCCCTGACACCAGCCTGACACTCCTGCCGACTCCTGCTCACTGTCATCGCACCCGTTAGAGAAGGTGCGGTCTTCATATACTGTTTGTTCTCTGTGCTCACAACCTCCCTTTCCGAGCTTGTGAGTGTCCTCCAAACACGTCTGCTCTGCTCTTTCCATTTCTCTCAGTGAAGGAACAGAACTCCTGTTATTCACCGACTGGGCTCAGACTTTCCAAATCTGACAAAGAGCTCGGGGCTTCTTCAAAGACACACAACCAGCCTGCAAGCACAGGAAAGGCTGAAACATGACGGAGGAGGAAGGCAAATGAAACCACAGGAGATGTGCTTCACACTCACTGGGACAGCGACAAGCGACACGGAGAAAACCTGAATGGCAGCAAGGGTGTGGGGACACTGGACTTGCCACAGACTGCTGGGGACGGACAGCGGCTGCCGGCTTGGGAGCCTCCCAGCCTCCCAGCAAGTTAAACCCGTGCAGTGCACCCCACAAACGTGCACAAGCACTGCGTGCCAGAAACGTCAGCAGTGCTAGGGCTGGACCAGCACCCTGCCTCGGCCCTACACTCTCAGCCCACACTCAACACCAAGCCACAGCGCACGTCCACTGCTGGAGGCGTCGAGGGACCGAGAGCAGCACACGCCACACAAAACCCTGTACGTCAGTGTTCGGGTAGCTCTTCATGGCAGCCCGAGGGCAGAAGCCACCAACATGCGCATCAGCTGACAAACGGGGGACAGATCAAGATGGGGCATGGGCCACCGAGACAGCCCCAGCCCCAGCCCAGGGAAGCCTGTCAGAAGGCACACAGCCTACGAGCCACATACACGAAATGTCCAGGAAGGGCAAATCCATGGGCAGAGGGGACGAGTGCTGCCAAGAGCGGGTGGCCAGAGGCACTGAGTGACCGCTGGTAAACAGGAAGTTTCTTTACGGAGCAGCCACAGAACTGCCGAGCACACCGAGAAGGCTAAGCTGCACACTTCTGGGCGGATGTGAGTTGTTTGTCCATCACCGGCCTTACGTGAACTCAACTCTCCCATGAAAACACATCGTCAACGCCAGCCCAGCAAGCGGACCCCGGCTTCTGCGGCACCCCCACCCCACACCACCCTGGGCACCCCACCTCGGAGCCGCCCCGTCTGCCGTGGAAGTCCCCTCTCTGCTGCTCTGCCTTCACAGCCCCGTCCTCCTGCACAGACCCGATGGTTTGCCCCACTGCCCTGGCCATACTGACCAGCCCCACACACCGCCGCCCAGACAGCTGGACTCCCACGGAAGCTGCAGTCGGCACATGGGAAGCGTAGCCCCCCGAACTCCTCTCACCCACCAGCCGCAGCCTCTGCCCGCCACAGGCTCGCCCAAGCCCTCTGCAAGGGCTCTCCTCCCTTCCCTCTGATCAGCTGGACTTCCGGCTGGCACGCTGGCACCTCACTAAGGCACACCACGTCCTCAGGACCCCGCAGCAAAGCCGACTGCTCACACCAGCAGAAACGCAGCCCGCCAAGCCCGGGACTGTGCTCCGCCCCTGCCGCTTCTCCCCACCCCAGTGATGCTGCTCACGCTGACCCCAGGTCCATGCACCCGTCCTCCGCACATCCAGACGCCCACCGCCTGCCTGTCTTCCCTGACCCAGCCCCTGCGCTCTCTGCACGGCGGCTCCGCGTCACCCTTAAAGCCTCAGGCTGGCTCTGCGAGCTCCAGGTGGCCGAGGAGGACAGGAGCAGCTCGGGAAGGGCGCCTGCGGTGACGCCCAGTCCACCACTTTACACTGCTTTCTACGGCTGCCCAAATAACAACCGCCTTTACACGCCCAACCCTGGGAATTTATGTGCATTCTGAGCAAAGTCAAGCACAAGCCCCACACTGCAGTCACCTATTTTTCCCATGGAGTTGCAACGTGGATGTGCCTCTTGAGGTTTTATACGGACAGCACACAAGGCGGGTGACGCAGAATACACTGCTGGCGTTCACTCCCGCCAGGCCCTCCCTGGGGAACCTGGGAAACACCATCAGTGTGTCTGGGCAAAGCAAACAGAAGAAACGCCCGTCTCTTTTGTTTAGGGGTACTGTGGGAGCCCATGACAACTGCGTACACTGTTTGGCTTCCTTGGGGACAAGGCACCACATGAGTAAAAGGGCACTACAAACTCGAAGCAGCACTCCCGTCAGCCCGTCAGCCCGCCGTGCCCATCCGTGCCTGTCCGTGCCCCGTCCGTGCCAGCCCGAGCGGCTCAGGCCGGCAGGACGACGGCCTTTCCAGCCAGTGCTTCCGCACGAGGACAGCGCAATGCACTCACAGATTGTAAACAAGGTGGCCATGTTTTCCTTGTTTGAGTTGGAGTCTTCCATTTGCAGTGAAGGCGGGACAAAAGACAGACTGTCTGAAGACACGTCCACGTGGCCTGTCCCCAGAGCAACCTCCTGGGTGATGGAGGAGACAGCCACGGGCTCGAGGCTGAGGCCGACTTCGTGGAGGGACACCGACTCGAGGGAGGCGAGGTTGTGTGAGGTAGACAGCGCCACGCTGACCGAGTTGGTGCTCATGGCCACCGTGTGGATGGAGTCGGCCAGCGCACCGTCGGGCATCCCGCTCACCCGGCTGGCGATGTGGTCCGTCTCCATGACCACGGGCAGCTCCAGGCCGCTGCCGTGAATGGGGATCACGCCGCCATGTCCCACAGTGTCCGCAGTGAGGTTGCTGTTCACGGTATCCACGGACAGCGGCTCGTGACTCCGCGCGCCACTGGGGATCTGGGCGCCACTGGGGATCTGGGCGTGCTCGCCTGTGACACCGTCCATGGCGAGCTCCTCTGCCATCCCGTCCGTGGAGAGCGGGCTGGTGACCCTGGACACGTTCTCCATGGTGATGGTGGTGTCCAAGGCCACCTCGTGGCCGTTGCTGGGGTGCAGACTCGGGGCCCCGTGCGCCGTCACAGAACGGGAGTCGATGGGGACGATGCCTGGCTCCAGCCCGACGCTCGGCCCGGACTGGTAGGGGTCCAGGGCCGGGGCACTGTTGGCAATGGACAGCGCCGTCCCGCCGTCCACGTTTATAGGGTTGGGGTGGATGTACTGCGGCGGCGGCCGGTCCGCCAGGTAGGATAAGATGCCTGAGAAGAAAACAGGGCGTCAGACAGAAAGAAGACAGAAAGTGGCCCAGGCGGGCGTTCCCCAGTGGCACTAGCCCTCCGCCTCCGCCTCTGCCTCCCTAGGGCAGCGACAGCGTCTGCAACGCTGCCAGCAGCCTGCACTGGCGGGCACACGACAGGCTCGCCCCCACAGCTCGAGAGGGTACTTTTGTTTTTATTTATTTTGCCTCCCTTTTTACTCGGCCCGAACTCATCTCTGAGCCTTTTATCCCCCCTACCCTGCTTTTCTCTCCCCACCTTTAATAAATGTGACGCTCTACCACCATTTAAAAACAAAAAACTTCAAGTGCCAGAGCTAGTTTCCTTATAACTAAGCTAAAATAATCTACTTACATTAATGAATAGCTATACAAAGAACAACACATCCCATTTGAATTTTTCCAATGAAATTCAAATTCTAAAAACTGTAGATGCCCTTGAGGACAAGGGGAAGAAATCACTTAAATGCTGCCTTTAATAGTTATATGAGTGCAATTACTGAGTCCTAAGGCCCTAAACTTTGCTCAATAAGAAATAACGAAGGGTCCAGCCAAGGGCCTCAAGCACACTAGGTAAGCACTCCAATTGTAGGCAAGTGATATCCCCACCCCAAGTTCCCATCTGCAAGTCACAGTCAACTCAAAATGTATTTTAAACTTACTGCAGGTACACTAGTGTAATCCTAAAGTCCCAGCACTGAAGAGACTGAGGCAGAAAGACTGAATTTGGGGCCAGCGTGGACTACACAGGAATAGGAAAACGATCTCAAAAAAAATTTAACTTTAAATTTGTGCAGTAAGGATGTGGCAGAATGTCACTTGGCGCACTGGTAGTGTGAAGGTAAACTACTAAAGCTCTCTGGAAAGCACATTAAGCACCTCAAAGGTGGTCATATCTTCTTGCACAAAACTCTACCAATGGCAATCTTCCCGAAACACATTTTTGTAAGTATTACACACATAAACAGTCACATCAATTATTACACCAATAAAGTCTGGAAAAACTATACTTCCCAATAATAAACACTGCTGATAATAATCTATAAAATATACATTCAATAGAATACAATGATTCATTAAAAAGATCATTATGAGGGCCGGGGATTTAGCTCAGTGACATAAGTGCCTGCCTGGCAAGCACGAGGTTGAGTTCAACCCCCTGTACAAAAAAAAGCAACTATGAAAACAATGCAGCAGGGCTGGGGATTTAGCTCAGCGGCATAAGCGCCTGCCTTGCAAGCAGGCAGTCGTGAGTTCGAAACCCGGTACCAATAAAAAAGAAAAAGACAAAAAAAAAAAAAGAAAAGAAAAGAAAACAATGCAGCAGCAGGAGAAAATATTAAGTGAAAAAGTAGACAATTATATAAAAAATATGGTTTTAATTGTGAAAAACGGTAAAATACTACACGCCAAAAAAACAAAAAATAAAAGATGAGGGGGACGTGGAGTGGTTCATATCTCTTCCCCCTTGTTTTCAGAAGTGCATATATAATACTTGTATAACAAAACAAATCTCCAACGAACTTCAAAAGGCAGGACACGTGGCTGCACAATGAGAAACCCTGGGAGACAGCGGAGAACCCAAGCGCACAGGCGCAACCTGAGCTCAGCTGCTACACTGAGGGGTCCCGTGTATGTAAGAGGAAGGTGCGTAGCTACACGTAGCTCTCCCGCCAGAGGTTAACACGTGATGATGACAAAGACAGGCAAAGCCGTACTCGAGCCCAGAACCCGGCTGAAAGCTGGCTCCACTCTGCTTCCCACAAAAGCTGAACCTCACCCGGAAGGATGGTCCTGAAGTAGCTGCTCTCCAGGTGAGGGTAGGGCGGTGGAGGGAGGGTGTAGTTTCTCTCAGGTAACCCACACATCACCCCTCGGTCCCCGATTCCCATCGGAAGCATCAGAGACAAAGCAGAAGGCAGGGAGCTCAGGGATGGGCCCAGGCTTGGAATCGCCACTGGCAGACCTATGGGGAAAAAGGCTTTAATTACAAGAAAGGACTTAAAAATTCTCTCTAGAGCCTCAGGCTGAACCTCTTAGAAAGGCTTCCTCACACAGGCAGCAGGCTCCCTTGGGGGCCCTTGTCACCCTGGCGACTCGGCCTGCGGCCCCAGGGACAGGGCCAAAGAGCCCTGCTCCACCAAGAGCACTCGCGTTAGTTTGAGACACCAGCCGGACCCTCCAGTCGTCTGGACTGTCTTTAAGCACAGCATTTAATTTACAACGAAAAGCCAAGTTTAAATATATAAGAGAAACTACTATGTACAGAACAAAAATGGAAAGAAGTATGCCTAGTCCAGGCCGTGGTCTTCGGCAGTGCGGCCTGTTTCGGTTTCCACTTGCTATTTCCACTTTCCACTGGAAGAATGCTGCACATTGTGACAACCTCATGACCCGCCTCTAGCTGGGAGACAGCCTAAGGTTAGCACACACACTTCCCCAGCCTCTCGCACACACACTCACACTGTGCCGCACAGCCCGTGAAGAACCGAAGCTGAATGTACAGGGCGGTGGGGTGGCTCTCAGCACAGCCCAGCGTCACAGAGGACGCGCGCCAACCCGGACAGCACTGACCTGTGTATCCTGCCAGGGCAACACTTTAATACACTTTTCCTCCTAAACAAGAGTCCACTGAAAGAAACGCCTGCCCAGGAAACAGGCAGACAACTCACACATTTTTGGTATTTCTCTGGTGGACACTTCATGAAAGGAAAGTAACAAGCCCTTGGTTTTGGTGAACCTTACTCAACTGCTGCACCTGAAGGATAAAGCAGGCAATTCTCTAGAGAACCACTTAAGCAACTTAGTCATTTATTTAAAGTACTCCAAATACAACTCCTATTCTGACAAGGTCCAGTACCTGATGTCACAGACTCTAACAATCGGCACCTGACTCATTTCTTTGCCATTTCAATAGAAGACAATGAAACTAGGCCAGAAAAAAGGTTTTAAAAGCACAGTGATGGGCAGAAGGGGCTCCTGGTACCTCCTCTCCCTGAGCATCATCTCAGGCCTGCCTCTTTCCCAGGGTTCCAGGCCTGCAAAGTTCCAGGTTCAAATCTAGTACAAAAGAAGGCCCGATTCCCTGTGCCTTCTGGCGTGACTTTTCTCTTCCACTAACCCAGGGCCTTGGTGCCCAGGCGCACCCGTGAAAGGGCAACCCCCCAACACAACGCCGGGGCAATTACAGCTCTCCACCCAAGGCTCCCAACCCCAGAGAGGATGGCAGAAACAGGACTCGGGAATACACAAACACGTTTTTTGCTGGGCAGCACACAGGGCACTGCCAGGCCTGCCTGCTTTCTCCCACAGCTCCCCCCACTCCTCTGACTCTAATGCAGCAGGCTGGGGAAGCACAGTGCTCTGCCCGACCACTTACCCGGGGCAGGGATGGCGCTGTGCGTGGGCGAGGCGGCCAAGCCCAGGTGACCTCCTGAGACCGGCAAGGCATTGCTCACAGAGGAGGAGGTCAGTTGCTCCATTCCCACGGGGCTCAGGTTCATCTCATTCATCCTAGGAAAGAACACACACAGCTGGTTATACCAAAAATGCCGCAGTGACTCCATGCGAAGATGCTGGGAAGTCTGAAGCCTCGGGGCCAGGAAATGGGGCCTGGCCTACTTTTCACGTGGATGTGCATACTTTCCTGGGACAGCAGTCACCCCTTCCAACAGATAAGGAGTGCAGGGATCAGAGAGAATAACTTGCGTTACTCTCACCTACCAGAAAGCCAGGCCTGCCTTACTCCAAATCATCCGAAGCAACCTGCATCCACAGAGCACGTAAGCAATGACTGTGCTGGCTCCCAATAGCTGCGGTCTCTAATTGGCTTTATTACTTCAGGCTTTCGTGTATATATAAGTGAATGTACAGTAGGACATTCAAACCAGGATTCTTTAGGTGGCATAAATGGCCTAGGCTGGGCTCAAACTTATGATCCTCCTGTTTCAATCAAGGAGTTCACACATCCACAGGTTCCACACATGCCTTGGCCAGGTATCGAATAAAAGTACGCTCTCAAGGGGCTGGGGATTTAGCTCAGCGGCATAAGTGCCTGCCTTGCAAGTGTGTGGTCGTTGAGTTCAATCCCTGGTATCGATAAAAACAAAACACACACACTCTCAAATGTCAACTGAATTACAAAGTCAACCTAGTACAGTACCCTGCATAGAATAGGTACTGTGAAATTTTTATCCTGGGATGCAGTAATACAAACCCATCACCCTTACTAGAAGAACAGCTAAGACCGTAGAGCAGGTGCGGTAGACACTGTATGAACAGCAGCAGTAATGGAAACAGTACCGTATTACTGTATAAAAGAACGCAAAACTCGTTGGAACCCTATTCAGCTACCTTAATTTTAAGTTTCTGGGACGAAGTTACTTTTAAACAGATTTCTGTTAACTTTTTATAGGTACAACCAATAGCTAAAACACGACAGTCGACGGAACTACGATAAATTGGATAGTTTTTAGAACTAGAACTAAAAGTCTGCAGCTTCAATCACCATCTGAAAATTCTTGAATATTAATCTATGTTCCCACCCAAAAAAAAAAAGTCAAAATGGTGTTTTCAGGTGGACTACTGGACCTTCTGAAACCAGTTTCAACCAGTCTGGTGGCGAGACTTAGCAGACCTCGGCTTTGTTGTGAGTCACTACAACCTGATGACCTCAGCAGCCACAGACAAAGGTGACCAGCACCGCACAGGGCAGGCAGCGGGAGGGAGGGCACACGAGGATCTTCCCAAGGACTCCTCACCCTAAAACGCAAAGCTGTGCCCCCTACTTTTCTCACATGGGTTTCCAAGAAGCAAGCACGGAAGAAAGGCAAAACTTAAGGTACTAAGTTCTCTCTCCGCTACCCCTTTGTGGTAAAACCATTCCTTATGTTCTACAGTGTGTGTATGTTTGCCTGTGTCTGTGTTGTGACCAGCCAAACTCCAGGCGAAGTTCGATGGTGAGATGAAAACACACCTACAGACACGTATGAGGCTGCTCCAAGGCACAGGAGAAAGGGGTCCGCCAGCCAGCAGGCCAGGTGCGCCTACCCGGAACCAGCACAGCGTGCGCGGGGATTCGGAGCCCCTCGACGCAGCTCTACTTTCCGATCTTCCCTTCCCCCCGGAGGCGAACCACACCTGGCCCCCTCCCCACGCGGGAGCACAAAGGGCCCGCCCCGCCCCGCCCGCCAGATGTTCCCGGTGACGTCACGCGCCGCGCCCCGCCGCTCACCTGCGCGGCCTCGGCGGCCCGGCCCGGGGTCAGCACGGCGCACGGGCCCGGCGGCCAGCGTCAGGGGCCGCGCACCCCGGCCTGGGACGGCGCATGCCGGGGCGCCGGCCTCACTCCCTTCCGCGGCTCCCGGGCGGGTGCAGCCTGGAGAGGGCGGCGCGACAGCGGTCACCCACCCCGGACGGCAGCACCCGCGTCCCCGCCACCCCAGGGGACCCCCCGACCCGCACGCAGCCCGCCGCCCGAGGCCGCGTCCGGGCGCGACTCGCCCCGGGCCCCGCCCCGAGGCCGCTCCCCTAAGGCTCCCCTCCAGCACGGCCCCGCCAGGCCCGGCCCCGCCAGGCCCGACGCCCCCTCAGGGCCGCACCCTCGGCGGCGCGTTTCCGGCTCCTCGGCCCTCTCGGCCCCGCCCCCGCCCCGCCCCCGTGCGTGCGTCGCGTGCCCGCCTGCGCCTGCGCAAACCGGACTCAGGCGGCGAGGGCTGGTGTGGGCGGCCCGGGGTAGCTTGTTTCTGCTTGAATTATACATTGAAATAGTAGCGGGATTCTTGAGTTATATAAAATACGGCGTTAAAGTTTTTATGTAAATGCATGTACAGCAGTCACAGCCCGGCAGTCTTCACGCAGCAGCAGAACCGAGGCCCAGGAGCCCGCCTCCCCTGTGCAGCCTTTGCCATCACAGATGCGGGGCCCCGCGCGGCAGAGCGCAGCCGGGGATGGAAGGGCGGAGGACGCACGCTCCGGGGCAGGGACTTTATCCCAGGCGTCAGCAGCGCACGCTGGTTTTGCTGTTTTGTGGACTACGAATAGAAATGGAACTCGTCATCTCTCTAAATGGGCAGCAGCCCTTAAAATGTCACTTCCCTCCCCCGGGACCCCGGAGGACGAGATCCCCGGTCTTCTGGATCTGGAAGGATGGTGGCTGCCCCTTGCGGAAGCAGTTTTAGATCCCGCGATGACCTCGCTTCAGTCCCGGACGGTGGAACCTAACTGTCATCTGCCTGATGGCCGCAGGCGGTCTGGTTTGTAGAAACCTACCCCACCGGGTGACGGTGGTGGCATTAGTGCCTTAATTAGAGACGTGGTTCTCTCCCTCTCTCCACCCTGTGAGGACACACAGAAGACAGCAGCCTGCAACCCGGGTGGGGACCCCGCCAGCACCCACCTGCGCTGCCCCTGATCTCAGAGTGGCCACTTCTGTTTTGTCAATTCAGCCTCCTGTTCTAAGCTACTTTGTTTCAGCACCCAAACTGACAGTGCCAACGCCTTACACGGAGGTGAGAGCCCCGTGCCAGCGGGTGGACCAGTTAGTGACAGCCAGATGGAGGGTCCACAGCACTTTCAGAGCTGTTTCAGTTTATACACAAGTCTGCTAAAGTTACTGTCGTCTTCAGAGAAACATAGTGATGCCATTTGTCACCATGTTGGTTAGAAACATGGACCAGCTGACTCTACAGATGGTGGCTGCAAGGCAGCCTGTCCACCCTGGGTGTCCCCCTGCCATTACTCACTGCTCTCTCCACCATAGAGGACAGTGCAACTTAGTGACTTAACACTGTCTAAAAATAGGAGGCAGGGACTCTTTCTAACACTCATCTTTTCAACAACTAGGTTCTCCTCCGCAAACTTTATAGGTCCCAGTTTTACAGGTGCTTCCTTTATGGTAAAACTCAAATAACTTGAACTCAACCAACCGTGCCTTTGACTCTGATTTTTAGTGCAGGTCTAACACTGCCAACTAAAAGCTGCCTACACATGGCACAGCCTGAACATGGAGCTGCCTTGCAATTTACTCCACCAGATTTAGTCTGCCCCCACCCCAGTCTCCTGCAAAGTCTCAAGGCATGAGCAAAATGGAGGCAAACTTTCTGTCAGAGCATAATATACATGGCATATGTGACCCACTTGCCAAGGGAGTCCTCTTCCCATCTGAGCCTGGCTCCCTGCATTTCTGTCAGCACTCTGATCTTCTGACCTCTGACCAGATTTCCCATTAAGCTTGGCTCTCAGCATTCTAGGGTGTCACTGCAGCATCTCCCGTCCTCAGGAGCCCCTTCCAAAGGCTGCGGAACCCCATGGCCAGGTATTCACAGCAGTGACCCACCCTTGGTACCAAAATCTGTGGTCGTCATTGTCTCATTGCTGAGATGCAGTATCTAACACCTACAACCTACAGGAAGAGTTGTTTGGTTTTTAGAGCTCTCAGTCCGTAGTTGGTTGGCTCCAGGAAGAAATGGCCTGGGGAAGAGTCTGGCAGAGGACAGATGCTCACATCGTGGTGACCAGAAAGCAAAGGAAAAAAAGGGCCCAGGGAGAGACCCTCCCAGGCCATCCCCTGGAGCCCCCTCTTCTGACCAGGCCCCACCTCCTGACAGCAAGTCCCCTTTACTGCCCGTGACCCAGTCACCTTGTGTGACCGTGGCCGTGTAGAAAACGGTTACTCAGAGACAAGACTTGGTTCAGTCACCGAAGGCCAAAGCAGGGCCATCTCAACCAGGAACAGCACTGAAGCAGAATCCTCAGACTTTTACTCAGAATACCAGTGTAAAAAATAAAATTTAAAAAGCAGTTTGGGCAAGCAGCTGTCTCAAGGCTGGGCAATTTCCTTGGGCTATTGTAATTGTACACACCTCATGGCCTTCTCCAGCACAGACTGGTCGAAGGAGTAGAGACCCGCCAGCCTGTGCTGCCACTGCTTCTGCAACAGTGACTGACTTCGGGGATGAGTGGCTGGTGTGATGGCTGATACTTACACTGTGTCCGCTTGAGAAGTTGAAGGAAGAGACTCAGCAGGAAGCAGGGTCCTTGCTTTGGAAATACCCTCATTCTGTGCAACAGGAGGGCACAGAGATTTTATGAGTGCTACACCTGCTCTGGGTGGGGACTGTGTCCCACAGAGAAGAGGCTTGGTCCCCTTTTTGTTCTAACAAAAGGCTCCTACCTTGAACCGTTGCCCCAGTGCCGTGCCACCCTGCCTTGCAGCCAGGACTGAAACCCCAAGAACTATGAGCTAAACAAACCTTTCCTTCCTGATTCGGGGTGTTGGGTATTTTGTCCCAGCAATGAGAAAAAAATAACCAAGACAGCTGGCATGCACGAGACCCTGGGTTTGATCACCAGCACCACAGGAAGTAAGTACAAGGGACTGAGATGCACAAGGCCCAGGCTGCACTCCCAGAAGGGCCGTGTGCTCCCTCCCCGCAGGGGCATCCCAGCTGCTGCCTGCAGGATGATGAGGTTCCCCCCAGGGCAATAACAAAGCTGACCGCTTCAACATCCCTGGAAGATTCAGTCATTTTATTTTTCTGTGGTAGTAAGAATTGAACCCAGGGGTTCTCAACCACTGTTCTCCCCCCCCGCCCCGCCAGCCCTTTTAAAGGTCTTTAAAATTTTGAGACAGGATTTTGCTAAATTGCTGAGGCTGGCCTTGAACCTGCAATGCTCCTGCCTTGACCTCGCAGCAGCTGGGATTCCAGGAATGCACCATCACTCCAGTGAAGACTATTTCTAAGTGGGGAGAAAAACTTTAGAACAGTGTCTTTAGTAGGAAAAGAAACTTTAGAATAAGGAACGGATCTTTTTTTGAGTGTGAAGTTCACCAATCTTTCTGATGGTCATGATAGAGCCTAGGCCCCTGGAGGTGACCAGCCTGAGCCTTTCTAGACATAGGCTTGGTTACTGCCCCACAGGCACTTGTTGGGGAGAACTGAGGGAAGAGCCCAGAGTTCCCGCCCTGCCTGCGGACAGGGCAGCTCACCAGGGCTGCTTCCAGCGCAGAAGTCACGGGAAGGGGAAGACAGCTTTTCTGGGTCTGCTGTCCCATTGCTGGAAACGCAGCTCACTGCCCAGGGCCAATCCGGCCTTGGCCTCTCCAGGGTGTAACTGTTAGGGTGGCACACACGCAGTGCTGCCTCGACACGGCACAAGCACGTGGTGGACAGAAATGCTGTGATGCTTGAGACACTGTCCTTTCTGGGTCTGTAAGCCAGTGGGGCTGGCTTTCTGGAGTTCACATCACCACTGACCCTACAGGTTTGGGAAGAGATTGGCTCTGTATGGCCCTGCCCCACCCTCAAAATGTACTCCCACCGGGAGGCCTGGGTCCCCAAGGCCTCAGTTCTGAAGTGTGGCCTGGAGCTCCTCCTCTGGATGCCTAGCAGAATGCACAATAGTGTGGTCCCTTGGCATTAGGGCCCCACTGGAGGGTCACAGCGCTAAGCTGGTGGAACCACAAGAACTCGGTTCACCTCAAGCAGGTCACTGGGGTGCAGGCTTGCGTGAGGTCCTGCAATGAATGTGTGAGGTCATGCCCCACGTAGCCCTGGGTTTCCTTTCCACGATGTTCATGGCTGGTCCCGAAACAATAGGACCTGTTTTTTTCCCCAGAGCCCAAAGAGAAGCCTAGTGGCCTTCACTTTGTGCTCTGGCACCTGCCCTGGGGTCCTCAGTGGAATTGTGCACTCACCACCCAGCCTGCAGACTCATACTCCTGAGTTTCAAGGACCACGGGCTCTGGGCACTGGCCATCGCTTGGCTCCCTAAGCCTTGTGGCCAGGCTGACCTCCACAGTGCAGTCCGGCTCTGCCAGCCAGATGGGGGCCTCCATGGCCTCTGCCTGTCTTGGCATTTGCTTGGGCCCCCACAGGCTGCCTCACCTCTATTCTCTGCCCTTGTGCAAAGGGTCCTTCCTGCCTGGCCTCCTTGAGCCCAACTCTCCAGTCTGCCTGGAACTGGCTCATCTTGCACAGGACACCTGAGTGTCTCCAGGCATCCCAGCTCCACCTACCCCCTGCGTGCCGTGCCATCTTCCTCTGGCGACCCTGTCGCCCACATTCAGCCTTAGCTAGGTGTCAGGTTCAGCAGCCTGGGCTCTGGGCCCTCCACTGGTTCTCCTCGGGTTCCTCCTGCCCTTGCATCTGTGACCCACTTTGGGTCATTTTGTCCTTCAGAGTTTTCACTACCAGTGCTGGGGACCTCCCTGCTTGCTCCTGGCCCCCAGCTTCCCTGGCCCCTCCACTCCTCCTGTTCTCTTCCCCAAGCTTCAATTCTACTTATCTCCAGGGGCTCCTGCCAGCCTGTGAGACACATCGTGCACTTGCTTTCTCCAAGTGTCCTGGAGTGCCTGCCCACCCCCCACCCCCAGGGCCCTCTGTGCTCTAAGCTCTTCTGTCCCTGCCTCGGACCTGGGCCCACACTGCAGGCTCGGGTTCCGCTGCAGCCTAACCCTGGGCCTTTCCCTCAGAAGCTTCTGGGCTCCAGTACACACCAGGCTCGGGCCTCTACGCCCCCTTCATGTCTCTCT